GATAGATAGATATAAATTTTGCTTCAAACTTTGCCTCCCATACTTTGTAGCTGTATCTTCCATCAGTGCTTTATTATTATTTATTATTCTTATCGAATTATTATTATTATTAAAATTTCTATGAAATTTTTGTCTTTCTTTTTTTGGTTTTGATTTTTTTTTTCAAGACAGGGTTTCTCTTTGGAGCCTTTCCTGGAACTAGCTCTTGTAGACTAGGCTGGCATTGAACTCACAGAGATCCGCCTGCCTCTGCCTCCCGGAGTGCTGGGATTAAAGGAGTGCACTGCCTGGCCAAAAATTTAATCTTTAAAATTCAATATTTTAGTAATATGTTCTCTTACAAATTTGTCATGTTTATACTCTGTTTTGGTCACCTCACTCATTCCAGAACTCTCTCTCTCATCCCCTTCAGACCTCCACACACTCCCCCTTCCTCCCATTAAGTTCCGATCCCTATTTTATATCTTTAAAAATAGTTTTGGAAAATTTGTACTTGTGTTCAATGTTTCTTCGTCATATATATCCCCACTCCCTCGCTCAAGCTTTCTCATCAGCCCACAAGTATCTCCCTCCCATCTTTTCACGACTCTTTTAATTTTCACAATTCTGAGTTGAGAGTCAGTTACTCCATTTTCTTATTCTGGATGAAAAAAAAAAACCCTGAAATTTGTAAAGTCTAGCAAGAACCAGATCAAAGAAACCAGTGAGCGGTAAAAATTAAGATTAAAATTCAGATCCACCACTGGGGTGGTTCCCAGGGTATCATATATAAATGCAAGAAGACTATTTTAGTGAGGAGTGTGGTTTCCCGGTTTCTGAGTTTGTCCTTAGCAAAGTCTCCGGAGTTGGGTGGAGCTGTGGCACCAGAGTCAGGATTCCTTCCCTAAGGCACTAACTGAAGAGCAAACTACAAGCATGTAAGAAGCAGCACCGAAAGGACAATCTTCAAAGGAGAGGATATTTTAAAAAGGCAGAGAAAATCCCGGTGTTTTACATGAGGGGGATAATTTCTATTTCTCGTGGATAAGTACTTTAGAAGTTTTCTTTGATCTTCATCTTCAATACCATGACCACGTGAAGCCTCACCATGTAACAGAATGGCCCAGAGCTCTGTTTGGAAGGTGCATAGAGACCAGGGGAACTTGACTTTGCAACCTGCTATTTTGAGAAGCTGCTTTGTAGCGTTTATAATCTTTCTATTTTAGTTTTATGGTCCATAAATTTATACTGTGGTAGAAAAGTAAATTGCACTTGGACAAGAGTAGAAGACACAGGTTTCTTTTCTCCTCCATTCACATTATTTTTTAAAAAAATTGTGACTTTCCCTTTTAAAGGTTGACCTTGCCGTCTAAGATAGGTTCTTTAGCCCTTGGAGGGCTAACTCTTAACAGACTTCCGTTAGCATCATTTGATAGTGGGTCTCTCCTAACTCCACCAGTTTGAGCTTTACATGTTTTGAAATTATTATTTTATTGAATGGATGTACATTATTGTTCTAAATCCCCTTTATAAGCTGCGTTTTCAACCTTTGGGCAATGTTGTTCTTTCTCCCTATGATTATTTCTACCATAAATTGTTATATTTATATCTGATATTAATTTGGTTGACGCATTTTGATTTGAGGTTTTCCCATTGCTTTGTAGTCTTTGATGGCTTCATTTCTAATCTTCCTGTTATGAAGTAAGCAAAAGATAACTTGGTTTGTGTGAAAATAATTCAGTCCAAGAGAATTAGTTGTTTTCAGTATAGAAGCTTAGTCATTTATACTTTATTTGAAAGCTTATTTCTAATATTTGTTAGTTAGTTAACCAATTAATTAACTTACAAGGCCGTTTTAGGTAGCTCAGCCTGACATTAAACTTGTAACCCTTTTGCCTCACCCCCAGGATTCTATTTATCTTTATCGTGTGTTATATTAATTTTGCCATTTCTTTTGTCTGCCTCCTATTTTATCCCAACCTTTCCTTCTGCTGAACTTATTTCCCCCTTTCTCTCCCACTCCGCGCAGCTTGCTGACACTGACAATAGAGTCCTTGTGCTCTACTTTGGTGACTTCACGGACATTTTTAACCCAGAGAGGGTGCTTAACAGTTTAAAACCCACAGACTAGCATCTCTAGTCTTCGCGCGCAGGGCAGACATCCTACTCTTTATCTAATATTTCTTTAACCTCAAAAAGTAACTAAGTTTATAGGCCATAGTTAATATTCCTGCTAAGAAGAGACACCGGATCCTAGACGCACACTATTTCTTCTTCATGGTTCCTTCTTCTTTATATGTTCAATTTCTCATCTCTTAAACATATTCTTTATTAGTTCCTTCCATGGTAATTGCTTTGCTTTTTTTTTTAAAAAAAAAAGAATTTTAAAAACGTATTTTACGTATATAGGTGTTTTACCTGCATGTCTGTCCATGTACCACATGCTTTCCTGTTATCTGAAGAGTCCAGAGAGGGCATCAGATCCCCTGGAAATGGAATTACTGCTGTGAGCTCCCATGTGGGTACTGGGAATTGAACCCTGATCCTCTGCAGGAGCAGCCAGTGCTCTGAATCACTGAGTCATCTCTCCAATCTTTTTATGTCATCTTCTTTTACATAGAATAATTTTTGTTTTACCCTCAGACTGTACATGAGCTCTGAAATAGCAGTTGGCAGACATTTTTCCTTCAGTCTTATCTCAGGACATCCCATAATAAATGATGGGGGGGCGTTCTCAGTCATTTTTGTTCTTCTGTTGGTGAGCCACCTCTGTTTGTGGTAGCTTTGGCATTTTTTTTTCTCTTGACAATCATTGCTTCTATCTTAGCTTGTAATAGGGCCTGGGTCAGTTATCTGTTAGCGTGTAATAATTCACAGACAAACTTGATGTCTAAAGTCTACGGACAACACCATCGCCATGTGTCAGGAGTTATTGAGTGGTTTTGCTGGGGCTCTCTGATAGATTTACAGTTGAAATGCTTACTAATTCTTCACTGTTGTGAAAGCTCTCTGCCCCTTTTCTCTTTTCAATCTTTCATGCTCTTTTAATGTCCTGAGCCTCAAATCTCTTCTTCCAACTCCCCTGGTCTTTCATGGTTTCCTCTCCTTATCTGTATGCCCTGAGAGCTTCATGATTTCTTAAGGATCAACTAAGTACGACAGTGAAACTCCCAGGCCAACCTTTAGGATTGCTCTTTGGAAAACAGCAAGTCTCAGAAACTGCTGCATCTCTCCAGCTGGTTCTTTCTAGCTGCACTATGACTATCTGGTGGGGACATTCTTTCACAATTTGTCGGACTTAATGTGACTCAAAGACGGACCTCTGTTTAATCTCTTCTGGTAATGTCTGTGATATAACCAGGGACCCTTCCTAGTCATGGTGGAACACAGCTAAGGTCCTAGCACTCACGAAGGGGAGACAGGGACTTCAAGCATAGGCTAGGACACACAGTGAGACCTTGTCCCAAAACCAAACAATAAAAATGCAACAAAAGCAAAACAGAGACTCTAGTTTCCAAGTGTCCAGTACAAAAGAAACGAATACTTATCCTGTGCTCTACCTGGTGCTTTTCGGAATGCCCTAAAAACCCGATCTCTTCATCCAGATTCAAGGTTCATTTGACAGACCACTTCTAAAAGTTCTGTAATGTAATTGGCATCCATTTATAAAAATTGTAAGTGGCCTCTAGCCTGGACTCTTAAAGTCAGAAAATAAAGCAAAATGCCACCGACTTCCTTGGTGAAGGCAGGGGAGTTCAGACAGAGTCAAATGTAATAGGTCTTACACTCATTTCCCTTTAAGGGAACTAGGTGTGAAGTGTGGAATGGAGATGCCATGATGACACCAGGCTAGAGAGGACTGGCTCCATGTCCGAACCTACATACGGATGTTAGATTTCTGGTACTGCTGTGCCGGTAGATCCCTGAGTCTTAGATTTTTTTTTTTCATGTAAAATATCCCCAGTCACATCAGTAATGTTCAATCGCAGAGATGTGGGCAGGAGCTCAGTGAGTGTGTCTGCCGTGTGTGGGAATATCTACTACCTATGAAGGACAATACAGGGCTATTCTCATCAGAAGCAGGGCTCACCAAAAACATCACTGTTTTGTCCATATACACACATACTGCAACTGGCTTATCTTTAGTTAATTCCAAAAAGGTCTAAATAGATTTAAACAAGTAAGTCTTTGGGAAAGGAAATTACGGTTCTGTGTGGATGTTTGCCTGTGATATGGTCATAGTAAACAGTTTAGAACAACTAATTTATTTTTATTTTCCCTTGGCTACAGTTTCTAAAAGTATACAAAAGTCTCAATTCCTATCCAATGTAGAGGTTTTTTTTTTTTTTTTTTTTTTTTTTTTTTTTTTTNTTTTTTTTTTTTTTTTTTTGTATTTTCTCCCAGAGCAACCTTGGCTGTTCTGTTCCCAGAATGCTTTGTTCTGCTCTACTCCCTGAGCTGCCTCTGGGGGTTAAATGAGCTGCAGCTCTTTGCTGGTGGTAGGCTTTGGTTCTGCAGAAACCCCCTAATCCCCTGTTTACCACAACACGAGTCTATTGCCATAGAAATGATAGCTGAGATCCCACAGTCCACACCACTGACTTCACAGCAGGGCCTGGTAAGACGAGACGCCAAGCCAACAGAGGAGCAGAATTCACTAGAATAGAAGGGACTCTGTTGCCTTGAAAGAAAGGGGGGATTGTCCTGGTCCACATTCAAACAAAAATGCATGAGTGAGCTACGTCTTTGGGTATGCTGTAGTTTAGTTTCTGTATAATACTGCCTGACTACCAGTAGTAATTTGGAATCTTATGCCATGGGATAGCTTGCTTGCAAGAAAAAAAAAAAAGGTCAGCATTCTCCCTCCATGGCGTTTGCTTCTTATTGAAATAAGAAACGAGTAGATTCTAATGAACCGTGCACAGTTGATGCACTGCCGTCTAAGAGCTCCCTTCTCATGATGCATTGTTCTGTTTGTGTTTGTTGTGTGTGTGTCTGTTTTGTCCTCTTCCTATTAACAGAAGACAGTGAGCCCGAGCAGGACGCTAAAGGTATTTCCTCCTTCCTTCTGCCTTGCTGCTTCTTTTTACATGAGCAATATATTCAGTTGCTTGTTTTCCTGACCTTAAGTGCTATTATTCTGTTGAGAAATGACCTGTGGGAATAAAGCCATAGCCTTAAAGAGGCACCTGCAGGGCTTCTTCCCTCTAGACTTGGGTTATTGACCAATCACGTTTCTTAGGAGAGCATTGAATCCAGAGATGTGTTGGAATTGTGAATTCCATATTCTAAAATCACAACACGAAGTTAAATGAAAATAACAGACAAGAGAATTAAAACACACAGGCCAGATCAGAAATTTCTTTTTTTGGGGGGGGGGGCGTGTGTTAAAATTTTGGAGAACTGTTAAAACTTCAAGATGGAGACATAAGTGTTTGGCTATCAACATTTCAATTTGATGAGGAGTTTAATGCATTTTACCTAGGTAAATAAAAATAGTTTCATTTTAGTTACATGGAAATGTATATTTCATTAAATATATTCAGGGAGAAAAAGCAGCTGGAAATGAAATTTGTCTTGGAAAACCCTCAAGTACAGCAAGTCTCCCATCATGAAAAATACTCTGTCTCCCAGAAAGGTGATAGCTCATGCTCTTCTCACCCAAACTTGGATAATCTGAAGATAAAAACCACAAGTCCCAGGTCATACAGCTTGGTTCTAGGACTCTATCTTAAACTATTATTTAAAATGATGTGCCCTCATTTTATAGACACAAATATAACAGATTAGGGACCCTTTGCCTCAGGTTCTCGGGGTCAAAAGTGTTTCAGGTTTCCGAGTTTTTCAGATTCTGGAATGTTTGCTCACCCTAGGGCAGCAAGGCATCCTGAATATGGAGATCTGAAGTTGAACTAGGGTGCTTTCAAAACGGAAACTCGTTGAGAGTCCTGCTGGCCCTCCAAAAGTTTTGGATTTTAGAATTTCAGATTAGGGACACTGTATTAGTTACTGGTCTCATTGCCACAACAAGATAAATGACAGAAGTAGCCATCAGAAGGATAGGTTTCGTTTGCTTTGAGATCCAGGGGATGCAAATCTTGGCAGGGAAGCTGCACTCCAACTGTAGCCGCGAGAGTGTGAGAGATGACAGCCTCTGGCATCACAGCGGATCAGGAAGCAGAGAGCTTGGACCAGTACCACAAAATGCATACAGTCTTCAAGGTCTGTCCCCCAGTGACCCATTTGTGCTACCTGTCCTAAAGAATCCAGACCCTGGGACAGAGAGATGGCCCAGTGGTTAAGAGCTTGTACTGCGTTTACAGAGGACCCAAGTTTCATTCCTATTGTGAGGCTCACAGCTGCCTCTAGCTCCAGCTCCAGGGTCCCCACATCCTTTTCTGGACTCCTCAGTCACCTGCACTCATAGGTGCACATACTATACACATGCCTACGTGTGCATGCATACTTAAAATAAAAAGATACATCTTCAAAAGAGAAGAATCCCAAACCTCCCAAAGCAGCATTAGCAGTTGCAGACAAAGTGTTCGATCACGTTTTTTAGATTGAAACTGTAAGAGATGCCCAATCCGTATTTGGAATGTTTTCCTCTTTCTAGATACTAGGTTGTTTGCAACACAAATCAAGTAAAAGCGTTCCAAAATGGTGCAATGGGTCAGTTTTCAGTCTCTCTGTTCCCTTTACTCCCGCCAGCCAAGGGTTATTTGAAAGCTTAAGACAAAACAAGCAAGCAAACAAACAAACAAAGCCCTCTTCAAGGAAGGGTAGGAAATAATACAGGAGGGAAAGAGGAGGGGAAAATACGAGCTCTCATTGTATCCTTTGAAATAACACTGAGAAACAGCCCAAACTTGGGACAAGCTCTTGATCTGCCCTCTCCCCAAGGAGGAGGGTACACTCTAACCACGAGAGCAGCTGTCGTTTCTCGACTTGGTCTCCTGGTCCCTGAATTTTCCATGGCATTACAAGAATAATTTCAGACTGTATGATCGCCTGACCACTTGATGGCATACTACCCTTTAAAATGATAACCACAGAGCTGATTATGAATCTGGAAGGAATTTGAAAAATGGTCGTGGCAGGTGCTCTGGGTGGGGACAGAGGACTATAGCTGTGCTCGCCATAAACAATTTGACATTGCTGGTGCCTTAAGCACGATTTTTGTTGTCAGATTTCCAGCCTTCAGAGAGGTCCCCAAATCTGCCCAAGAAATATAAAGGCCAAAATGTGTGAAAAGATTTCATAAGAGAAAACCCTGGGGTTAAATGCTGCCTCTGTCTGGTTTTCATGCCTGGTGATAAGACCATCCTTGTCCATGGGAAGACGAATGTGAAAGAAAGAATAGTGAGTCAGACAGTGATAACTAAGATGATCACTAACAAGAGAAGCTGTATCATATCAGAACGGTTACAAAGTTTCCTCAAATTATTAAATACTTTCCAACTTCTTTTCATCAGTTTACTTGCTTATATAACAAAACATATTTTCTGACATGAAAATAAATTACAAAATAAAGACATTTGATGTGCATCTCATTGGCTAAGAAACAGATCTCGTTGTGCTTTGGAATGATGGGCTAGAATGCATTTCAGTTTGTGGCTACTCACTAATGCAATGGGATTTGCTATCTGACTATATCCAAGTTCAGTACTGCAGGGGATGAAGCTGTCTGACATTGACTGTTGATTGCAGCTGTTAGGATTGTTGTCAATGGTCGTTAAATGGCTGGAATTTCTCTCAGCCCCTCCTTCACCTTTCACATTTAGAACAGGAAACAAATACAGATGGGTGGAAACACATGCGCATCATTGCTGATAGAGCTGGGTTAGTCTCCAATAGGAAGACTAACATAACTTCTGTGTTTCATTCTCACCTTCCCAGCCTTTCATGTGTCACATCTTAAGGTTTGGCTAGAGAAGTCCTGACCTGTTAAACTTTCAACCACATAGCAAGCTCTTCCCCTTCCTTTAGGTAGGACAGCCAAGACAATGGTGGTCCAGCAGGGTTGAGACACACATACTGTAGATTCTAACTTCATTTGCCTGATGTCACCAGAAAAGTCACTCCCTCGCTCACTCCTTCACTCCCTCCCTCGCTCGCTCACTCCTTCATTTACTCGCTCTCATTTAATAATTTAATAAATATTGATGTCTTACCCTGTTCCAGGGCACATCTGGAGATAGATATAGACCAACATATACGTAAGTCAGCCTGCAGTAATGAACAAAGCAAAGTCAGACCTTGCTGTCTTTTTATCTCAGGAGGAGGGACCATCAAAATACAGATAAGTAAAGGGACCCACAGGTGTCAAGGAGTGCTAAGTATTGTGATGAAACAAACAAAGTGAGGGAGAATTAAGGACAGTATAACAACAAGACGTCTCAATTCAAACCAAAAGACATGAATGGTGTTTAGAGCATCCTTTGGGAGTAGAGGAAAAGTCAAAGGAAGGGTTGAATATGTCTGTCAATATTGCAAAGGGAGGGCTGAGTCTGGCTTCTTGGAGAGAACCCAAGAGTGTGGGAGGGACCAGCTTCACTGTAATCTTTAGTCATCTTCTTCTCTGAACACACTGCACTTAATGATGAAGACCACTTGGAAAGAACAACTATTTATTAGCAGTTTTATATTCATGTGTGGCCAATAGTACCCATCATGTGTGCCCAGACAGAGCCCCTAGAAGGTTCGTCGTGAGGCAATAGAAGGGAATCAATTAAGTGCAACATCACAATGAACTGCGCAAGAACAGCTGACTGATTCGTTCACTTTCTCGCTTTCTGCCTAGCTGTGTTGTGCAATATAGATCATCAAGGGTTTTGCGATGAGCCTAAATGACAAGCCACGGGATGCAATAGCAGCTCAAGGAAAAACAAAAGCTGTGACTCAGAACACAATAAACCCACCCTGGCTAGTAAATTTCTAAGAAGAATTCAAAGTTCCCAAATTAAAACATAGGCTTCCATAAATCAAAGCAGGAGAAAGAATCTAGGTTTCCTATTTCTCCATTTTGTTTTATTGTTCTCCTCTCCATCCAAATCCAAGGGCATGGTCAATCATTAGGACGCTTTTCTAATATGAATGATATCGTGGATCCAGCTCCAAGGCTCTCGAGCATCTTTCTGTTTCCAAGGCTCAGAGGCGGGGCCCCATGTGGTACTGATTATAGTGACTCAACTCGAAGACTGTAGTGTCAGCCCCTGCATGCACTGTCTCAGTCACGTGTCACACATGGGCTGAGATGTGCGGCATGGCCTAGGTCTCATCATCATCACCAGAAAACAATAAGAGTGTGTGGAAGCCCCCCTGCTAGGATGCCTCTCAGCCTGGGTTTGGCTGTCAAAAGCACACAGCCTGTGAACTCGGATTAAGTTGGGAAAACAAGAATTCGAAAAGAGCACTTGAAAAATATGGTCCTTAAACCTCCTTTAGCCTGTAACAGATTGCTTCTCTCCTGTTATGTATTGGTTGAGGCAATTAAATGATTTGCCATTTTTAAGTTCCCTGCATTCTGGGTTTTACAGACATGGTCTACAGGGTGTTATTTACTGTGTTCCTGAACTTATTTTTGATACATGCTTAATTATATCCTGGGGCATTCTAAAGCCAGGATATTATTGTTATTATTATTTTCTTTTTTAAAATTTAATTTTATTTTTTTACACTCTTTTTTATTGATTTTGATGAGTTGTGCATTTTTCTCTACTTTCCTTCCTGTTTCTTCCCTCCCATTCAACCCTCCCCCATGGTCCCCATGCTCCCAATTTACTCAGGAGATCTTGTCTTTTTCTACTTCCCATGTAGATTAGATCCATGTATCTCTCTCTTAAGGTTCTTATTGTTGTCTAGGTTTTCTGGGATTGTGATTCATAGGCTGGTTTTCTTTGCTTTATGTTTAAAAACCACTTATGAGTGAGTACATGTGATAATTGTCTCTCTGAGACTGGGTTACCTCACTCAATATTATGTTTCCTAGCTCATTTGCCTGTAAATTTCAAGATGTCATTATTTTTCTCTGCTGTGTAGTACTCTTCTCATGTAGTCCAAGGTGGCCTTGAACTCCCATGTAACTGAGGATGACTTTGGACTCTAAATGCTCCTGCCTCCTCTACCTCCCCAGTGCTGGGATTACAGGCATGGGCTACTACAGCATCTGGTTTCTATGGTGCTGGGAATTGAATCCATGGCTTTGTACAGCCTAGGCAATCACTATACCAACTGAACTTCACCTCTGTCTCTCAATTTTGGTTTTAAGAGGCAGGTTAAACTCCATATTAAACATTCAAAACATTTTTAAACATTTTTATATTTTAGCTACTGTCATCTTTGAAGATGACACTTTTACTACTTTTCTGTTCTCCTGGCTCTGGGGTACAACATTTATATATTTAAAATGGATCATCACAGATATTGCAATTACCCCAAACAAGGTTGTAAACAATGCATGTCTTAGAGTCCACAATAGTAAAATATAGGAAGTTAAGTTAATAAAAGTTTGCATCGAAGACCCAGTTGTCAAGAAAGATTATATTTTTATACCCTTGAATTATATAACCTCATAAAGAGTTTATCAAAATCATAAATAATCCTGACAAGTTCTACATTTGCTATGACTGTTCTGTATATTTCTTGCCTTGCACACACAAACTCTGTGGATTTTGGTGAACTAAAAGAACCAAGTTTCAAAGTGCTAATTGGGGTTTAGAATTCCTGTCATTGCTCTGGGCTTATGCCCTAGGAAACAGCAGAAGAGAGCATAAAATATGTTGACAATATAATAGGAAAACAAAAAGATTTTATAATAGTTTATAAGAACATCAGAAAACCAGAGACCAAGCTTATTACCATCACTATGATACTCTGAGAAATAAATAAAGCTAATGGGGATTCGGTTTATACAGAAGAGCAGGACTCTAGTTGATATTGTAAATGGTGCTCTCCAGCTCATTCTGTGTTTCTACCTCTATCTTTAATTCAAGGTAAAACTGGATAGTCTGGAGAACTATTTTTTTTAATTAGTGAAGACTTGTAAGCTTAAGGAATGCAAATGACTCATTCTCCTCCTCATATTAATTTAAAATATCCCTTTCCTTTCCCCCAGGAAATCATCTCATTCTCTGAAATGCACAATATATTTGAATTTGTTCTCCTACTATGATAGATTTGAGGGTATAAAACAATCTTTTTTTTTTAATTCACTAAAATGGTGTCCTGCGTTCATTCTGATCACGAATGCTTCTGGGCACTTCATCCAGCAGTGTACAAAATAGGGTAAGACAATCTAATGGGGGAGCTGAAGAACAGATAGATAGGACTAAGAGAAGAGAGCAGCAGGTGTGGAAAGATCATAAAACAGAATGACAAAGTTGGGTGGGAGTTGTACTGTGTGTTGGATGATCATGGTCTAAGGAAATGTACTTTAAAATGAGACCTGAGTTGTATACATAAGGAACCCATCACATAAAGACATAAACATGAATGTTCTAGATTGATAAACAACAAAGACAAACTTATATGTTGGAATTAAGCTCAGTGTGGCCTTTGGGTAGTGAGAAATGCAAAATCAGAGACTAAAGAGCATGGAGGGCAAACATAGCAATACTGAAGGGTTGATCTCACTCAAGGGTACATCATGTGACTTCAGCTTTTAGAGCCTTAATATCTTGCTTAGTCATTTCATAAAGAGTTATCACTTGTGTCCTTTGTCTTCCTAACAGTTTTTGCAAGAATCCTGCGTGCTCCTGAGTCCCACAATGTCACCTTTGGTTCCTTTGTAACTCTACGCTGCACAGCAATAGGTATCCCCGTCCCTACCATCAGCTGGATTGAAAACGGAAATGCCGTGAGTACCTCATGTTTGGGATTATTTGGGGTTATACCCACTGCTGCTGATGTACCTGTAGTGTGCTGTGATTTAAATAAGAACAGCTCCCGTAGCCACAGATGTTTGAGTATAAGATTTCTGCTTGGTGGAAATGTTCGAGAAGCATTAGGAGGTATGACTTTTTGAGGAAGTGTGTCGCTGCGGTTGGACTTTGAGGTTTCAAAGGGCTGTTCTCTCTGCCACTCTCTTTGTCTCTGTCTTGTTGTTCAAGATATAAGTTCTCAGCTATTCCAGTCAACATACCTTTGCTCCACCATCATGGACTCTATCCCTCTGAAATTATAAGCCCCAAGTTAAATGTTATCTTTTGTAGATTGCCTTTGTCATGGTATTTTTCATCACAACAATAGAAAAGTAACTACAACATAAAGTTACCATTTCTATCTATATCACTGGTACTACGTGTATCAGGATTTGAAGCCATCTTTGGTCTCAGGAATCATTGACATTGAACCCTTGGAGTTTGCATCTTTCCCTACATCCTGGAAAAAGTAGAATACTTCCTTTGATTTTTTCTGTGTAAAAGAGAAATGTTTGTAAGTCCTTCCCACAACTGCAATAATTTTCATAAGATATACCAGTTCACTGGGGGAAATTACTTTAATGGAAAATAATCGAGAATTTTAATCCATCTATACCAATTCAATATGCCTTTCTGCATCTTAATAGTGATAGTAATAACTAGTGTGGTCACATGATTATCTTGAGCCAAGCCCTCTTCTAAGCACTTTACATACAAACATCCACTCAGTCTTTTTTCAAGCGCATGTTGAGCATCTGGGTATCAAGTTCTATTCTAGGCCCTGGGGAAACAAGGGCAAGCAGAATGGTGCCAAACGGCTTCCATTCTGGTGGAAAAGAACAGAGAATAAAATTAGAGAAAGAGAGTGTACATTTTGTGTGGATTGTGTCAATTAGGACAAAAAATAATAAGCATGAAGCTGGAAATGAGACAGAAAGTTGGGCCTTAGGAGAAAGATCCCGGTGTCAGTAGCGTGGTTGAGTCGAACTGAGACAGAGACAACTGGGAAGAGGTTTAGATATGATGACAGGGGAGGCTCTGTGCACAGCTGCTGGGAGGTTACTAGACAAGGTCTCTGAGATGAGTGTGTAGACATGTCTATTGGAGGAGAATCAGAGAGGTTAGTGTGGTTATAGATGAATGAATGTATATATGAGGGGTGAAGCGGCCACTGTGTGTCAGAAAGGCCTGTAGAGGTCCTTGAAGCAACTTCCACTTTCCCTTGTCTGGCAAGGGACTTAATTGCAAGTCTGTTTCTATTGAAGGTTTATCTATAACAGCTAGTTTGTTGGTATCTAGAAAGGGAAATTAATCACAACTATTATTGTCATATTTTTTTAAACATTACCTGTTGTCTATTTGTGTTTGGTGTGAATATACTTTTTATTTTATCTTAGTCTGCTTTCTGTTGCTGTGATTTAAAAAAAAAAAAACCCTGTGACCAAAAAGCAACCTGAGGTTTTATTTAAGCCGACAGCTTATAGTCTAACATGAAAGTCAAGGCAGGAACAGAAGTAGAGACCATGTAGGAAAGCTGCTGATGACTTACTCTCCATGGCTTGCTCAGTCTGCTTTCTCATATATCCCTGGACCACCTGTGTAGGGATGGCAACACCCACAGTAGCCTAGACCCTCCCTAATTAACCATTAATCAACAAAATACCCCACAGACGTGCCTATAGACCAATAAGATAGAAGCAATTCTTCAATTGAAGTTTGTTCTTCCCAGATGATTTTAACTTGTGTCCATTTGGCAAAACAAAAGACAAACCTCCAACTAGTACAGGTTTAAGGTTGTGTTTATGAGGTGAAGAAACATATTTTTATTATTTTCATACAGAGGCAATTTAAATCAGTATATTCCCCCTTCATCAATTGTATCAATTATTGGAGAGCACGGCATCTCAGGAGTGGCGGTTTCCCTTGTGTTGCTCCATCCCTTCACCCCATGTAGCCCCACATTTTCGTCTTGCTCTGTTTTCGGTTCTGGATTATTGTATCTGTTTTCTAAACTAGGAGCAGCCTGTTCTTCCAGCAAGCTATCAAGATCATGTGTCCAAGGTCAATGTTAGGCCAGCCTTATGGAATTGCCTGGCAAGCTTGCATTTTTTTCTTTGGTGCAGAGCCTGAAGTGAAGAGGGTACAAGGCAAACCTCTAAAACTCCGAGGCACTTTCCGCTGCTATACCTTTGAGGATGGCTTCTCTTTCCTCTACATCCTCTCTAGTCAGACTCCCAGTCAACAGATACCTCTCTGAAGTCAACTTGACTAGATTTAGAATCACCCAGGAGAGGAAGGAAGCATCAGAATATTGATTAAGGATGCTACACAAAAAAATGTTCAAATGATACACAATGGCTAGTCACTTTAACCTTCCAACATGGTAATAAGCCTATAATACCACAAAAGACGAGACTGTTCCCCATCTCCCACACCAACTAAAACACTGGACAGCCATAGATGAAGAGTAGAAGAAAGCAATGCTCCCTCACTTAAGACATATCTCCTTTCTTCCAATGGAAATGTTATTTCTCCCCCATGGAAATTTGTAGTCAGATAAACTTGGGAATGGCAGGTATCATTTATTTATTTATTTTTTAACACAATATTGGATATAGAGAAGAGAATATCTTTTGAGACAGCATTTCCTCTATGTAGCCACGGCTGTCCTGGAACTCACTAGGTAGACCAGGCTTTTCCTGGAACTCAAGGAGATCTGCCTGCCTCTGCTGCCCAAGTGCTAGGGTTAAAGGCATGGGCTACTGTGCCTGGGAGCTTACCATTTTTAAGAAGAAAGTCTTTCCATGTTCTAGAACCATGTTTATTGAAAGCTATTCTAACAATAACTGCTATATAGACATTTAGCTAAAGTTTAGAAAACTGTCTAAACACAATACACAGTAGTCCTAAAAAAATTATAAAAGTTGAGATAGTTTTGTTAAAATAATTTTATAAAAGAAACAGGCAGTACATATATTTTGAAGATAGTGCTGTTTAATATTCTAATAAATAACCATATTTCACCCAGATTTTTAAAAGGCCATTGTTGTAGAATATTATTTTAACTAGGGAAAGATGTGTCACATTTGTTCATACTGCAATTGTTTAATTATGGAAAGAAGTGTTGTATTTGTTTCACTTTGTCTGTCTAAGGCACCTGATTGATCTAATAAAGAGTGGAATGGCCAATAGCTAGGCAGAGAAAGGATAGGTGGGGCTGGTGGACAGAGAGGAAAAATCGGAGGAGAAATCTGGGCTCAGCAAAAGGAGGAAAGGAGGAGAGAAGGGGGAGAGAATAAGGGACAAGCCGGGAGCAAGAAACCAGGCAGACGCCAGTCAGTCAGATGTAGAGAAGCAGAGAAAGTAAAATAAAACAGAAGTCAGAGAGGTAATTAGCCCAGAGGCAAAAGATAGGGAGAGAGAAACAGGTTAAGTTAATATAGCTAGCCAGAAATGCACCTAAGCTAGGCCGAGCATCCAAAACTACTAAGTCTCTGTATCATGGTTTGGGAGCTAGTTGGTGCCCCCCACCCCCAAAAAAATCTGGTACAAGACATGATTTTGGCTTCAAGCATGTGAACTTTGGAGTCATTTTATATTATTAACTGGTAAAACAAACTAATTACATATCGTGGGACCTGTGTGGGGTTATCAGTAGCCAGCTTGAAAGAGAACAGTATTTGTGGCTAAGGTAATAAATAAAAATCAACACAGAAACGCCGCTCAGGTCAGCACCTGTTTTTCTACGATGCAGAGACAGACAGTATTTATTATAACAATGCCAGGAGCATGGGCCTTACTGGGGCACACACCGACTGTTTTATGATGTTTTCCCAGCTAGCTGAAATTATTGATAATGTAATGCTGTTGGAGCCAGAATACCTTTCTAGGCATTTCTGTGTTCGGATGAAGTTATGATATACCAGACTGTCTATGGCTGTTACTAGATCATCCCAAGATGGCCTCGTTAGTGGATTCACGATGCGCACAAATGTTGTACAGGTATACATTAGCTCAGATATTGTTATGTCTGATAGAACTTTCTATTTTACTGCCTCTTTTAAAAGTATTTCTTTTTCAAAAGCTTTACTGTAGTTTTAATTATGTGTGCACGTGTGTGTATGCCTGTGAGATGGTGTATGGGTAAGTGCATGTGCCCGTGGAGTTCAGAAAAGGGCGTCAGACTCCCTGGAGCTGGAGTTACAGGCAGCTGTATTCTGCCCATTGTGATGTGGGTGCTGGGATCCAAACTTGGGTCCTCAGCAAGAGCAGTACATGCTCTTAGTCACCAAGCTGTCTCTGTAGTCCCCAAGTTTTCTTTATTATATTTTTCCTATAATATGTTTTAGACAGAGACTATGTTTTGCTTGTAATGTACTTGGTGAAATAATCCCTGCAGCCAAGCAAGTTAACAGATTCATCTACCTCCTTACAGAAGTCATCACCATCAGAAAGACAGAATGTTCTAGCCAGAGAAGAGAATTTATTCTGGCTTCCTTAGTTTAGTCAATCTGAGAGACTTGGCAAAAACATCCTCACTGCAAATGCCAGATATATGCACCTGAGTTAAGTCCAGTTGGCTCTTGCTTAACATGGGATATTTGTACTAGGACCCTCTCCATGGATAACCAAAACTTTGGATGCTCAGCCTCTTATGTCCAATGGTGTAGTATTTACACATACTCTTCTTTGTACTTTAAATAATCTCTTGGTAAAAAATGCTATGTAAATAACTGTTACACTATTTTATTTAGGGAATAATGACAGGTTCAAAAAACAATATACTTTAAAAAATATTTTCAATACAAAGTTAGTCAAGTCCATAGAGGCCACAGATAAGCTTGCAGGGCCACTGTTCCGGTAGTCTTTAGACATACCTTGGTAAAAGGTCACAACAATAATCTGAACTCATCCCTTTGATCTTTTAAAAACCCAGCGAAGGGGCAAAATGATCCAAATAGAGGGCAGAGGGTTGCTTTTATTTTTAGATCATCAAAAATACTAAAGTGTTAGTCAGGGTGAGCTGTGAAGAAAGAAAAACAAATTCAAACTATGACTAACAAGGCCTGCTGTGCATGAGTCACTGAGGGAGCGAGGTGAGGCCCCTGGACGCAGGAGGAAACGCGCTGAAAAGCCACACCAGCCCTGAGGAAGGAGCTGGTCTCTCAGCCTGAACATTCAGCACTTGGATGGAGGTCCCTGGAGAGGTCAGGTAGCTTGAAGAGCTCTTCTTTCAATGAGACGTGTTTTCAGTGACCTCATGATCTCTGGAGGTGCTGAGGAATGGTGTGCTTAGGTGTGAACAGCAATGGTGGGCAGTCTCGGCAGCCCTGGGGGTCACCCATTTCTAAGTGGCTGCATAGCAATGCTGGGTTTCTTCTCAAAGGAGGGAGCCAAGGTCCTCCCCACTCCATCCAGGTCCAGGAAGGTGCGCATCTAAACAGACTAGGCTCCCTCAAAGCCAGTACATGCAGTAGGATCAAAACCCAGTGCCATTGTCCTTGGCTTCTCAGTCAGCCCTCATTGTCCTTGAGTTCAGTGACCTCACTTCAATCCTTGAGCGCCACATCATGGAGAGAGAGAGCCAACTTGCCCTCTCACCCACGCCATGACATGAGTGTGCCCATACACTAATGCAAAAATAAATAAATGAAATATAACTTAAAATTAAGAAAGAAAATGTGGGCAGTCTTAACTATGTAGTTGAAATGATGACTAGTGAGTGAATAAGCATTTGTATAATTAATCTTGACAATTACATGTTAATATGTTGATTAATATTCTGCTTCTTCAAGGACATTTGACTTCTGGTTTAAGGGTCCAGAAGAGTTTGTATGAGTGTCTTGGCCCCACAAACAACTTTTCATACTACACATCTATCAATCTGAGGTCCATTTATAGAGAAGTGCCCAAATGTTATGAAGTCTAAAACCTCTTAGTTTTGTCTGCCCCCATCTGTGAAACAGGATACATCTTAGAACACTTACAAAGAGTATCATTGGAGCTTGTATTAGTTATCTGTTGCTGTCTCACAAACCAGCTCAAGGCTGAGTAGATTAAAACAATAACTGTTAGTGGTCACAAGTCTGCGGGTCAGCTGGGTGGTGGTTTCGCTGGTTTGAGCCAGGATTGCCAAACACTAGGCTAGTACAACTCTTATGAGTGGCAGCTGGGGTGGGTTCTGGTTAGTCTAGAATAGCTTTCCTCATATGTTTGTGATTTGGAACTTCTACTGGGGGATAGATGGGCCATGTTTATTCCATCCTCCAATGTCCTAAGGTTTCTATTGTTGTGAAGAGACACCATGACTACAATGATTCATATAAAGGAAAACGATTAATTAATTGGGGCTTGCTTATTGGTTCAGAGGCTTAATCCATTATCATCATGGTGGGAAGCATGGTGGGATGCAGGTAGACATGGTGCTGGAGGAGGAGCCAAGACAGCAGGAAGAGAAAGAGACACTGGGTCTGGCTTGAGCGTCTGACACCTCAAAAGGCCCAGGGATGGGGAACCTGTGTCTGTGTTTGCTGGTCTTTCTCATGCCTATTGATCATAACTGAAATGCTTTGTCCTTCCAGACTGCCAATGTGGTGTATTAGGAAAGGGTAATTTCGTTCTATCTTTTATTGTTCCCATACCCATCAGATTTCCTCAGGGTCCATTCAAGAGAGTGTGAAAGACCGGGTGATTGACTCAAGACTCCAGCTCTTTATCACCAAGCCAGGACTCTACACATGTATAGCTACCAACAAGCACGGAGAGAAGTTCAGTACGGCAAAGGCTGCGGCCACAGTCAGTATAGTAGGTAGGTGCTGCGTGTTTGCGCTGCTTCAGAGAAGGCACAGAAGGCACGCCACAAAATCCGGGTGGATGCTGGGGATGCAAACTCAGGCCCTCAGGTTTACATAGCAACCACTTTTACTCCTGGAGTCACCTTCCTATCTCCAGTAAACACTCGCTTAATATCCACACACAGAAATGTTCGCAGACCCAACCGATTGATGAGTAAGACGGGCTTACTCAGGGTACCATGGGGATTGGTGGAGGAGTTTAGAAAGAAACACGATTCTTAGCATCTTTTACCTCCCCAGCCTCCTCAAGGCTAATTCCTTGTTTGTTTTGACACTCTTGAGTGATGGAGACATAGACATTGACTTGGTTGTATTAAAAATTAAATCTTAACATTCTTGCTCAGATAGCAGATACCAATTTGTAGGACCTTATTTTTCTCTTTTTTTCCTTTCTTTTTTCACTTTTTCCCTTCTCTCTCCTTGTCCCTATCCACAAGTCGTCCCTCCCTCCCTCTGTTTCTGTCTCCCTCCTTTCCTCTCCTTCCCCTCCCTTCCTTGTCCCCATCTCCCTTTCTGAGTTCCTTCCTTCCGCCCTTCCTTCCTTTCCTCCCTCCTCCTTCTCCTGCACCCCCCCATCTGGATTAAGCGAACTTCCCAAGGCTCTCAGAAACGTGAGGGATATTTAACATGGCTGGGTCAATTTCCATATGGCTGTTTCTTGGAGGCATTTTTTACTCTGTGTGTGTGTGTGTGTGTGTGTGTGTGTGTGTGTGTGTTCACTTTCCTGTGTTATCTAAGTGACAGCAAGACTTGTAGGTATTTTCACGGGAAACAGCTGACACATGGGTTTCTAGGTTAGCTACATTGTGTTATGAAGGGTTATTTTTCAAAGTTAAATATCCAAAAAGACTTCTAGGCACATTTCTGGAATTCCTAGAGGTGGAAATAATCCTTGTATCAGGAAATGCCAGGCATGTCAGCCTCATGGCAGGCCTACTGTTCAAGGACTAGTCGAAAGGTACTTGGCCTGACATGTAAGGCCAGCACTGGAGGACTCAGGGCCAGCTCCTGGGGCCTGCTGTTTCTTATTACAGCCTATTCCTTTGATCTTCCCTGATGGAGAACTTTCCATCAGTGCCTATGATTTTGAATCTGAAATGAATAAAGGCCAAAGAGTATAAGTAGCAGTAGACAAGGCTGGACCTTGAGGACATGCCCACAAAGGCAAGACATAGGCTCTCCCTACCATCTTCTTGGAGGATTTGTCTGTCTATAGGGCATCAGTTAAACTGTATCACAAGACGCAAATTCAATTCAATATACTAAAGAGAACAATAGAATGATCTCCGCTTACCCTGCACTTTGCAGTTTATAACGGGCTTTATATGAATTTATTAAATATGATGAGTGTGGCCCACTCTCTGGGGCAGAATAAAACAAAAACCGAATAACAACGGATCTTGCTTTCCAAGGATGGCCATGGAGAAAGGAAGTTTTCCAGCCATGGGCATGCTGGCACAGAGCCTGTTCTGTCCCACACATACTGACTGCACAACAGGAGGGCAAGAGAGGTTGAAGGGACAGAGGCCATTTGGGTAGACATGGCTATGAGATGGATAGGTTGAAGTGTGTCCAAAACTCAATTAACCTCTGCGCTGGAGAACAGAAGGAGGTAGCAAGTCACGAGACAAGTTTGAAATGTGAAGTGTAGCCAGCTTCCGAAGAGCCTGGATTGGGTCAGTCCATCCTCCATAAATGAGAAGTCATTTCTTCATTGTAGAGGAGGAAGCAGGTGCTACGGCCAGATACACCCTTCAGCAAATCAACATGTAGGAAGTGACGGGAGGTTGGCGGGCATGCCCCGCTGGAGACTCCTCAATGAGCCTAGAAAAGACATGCTATCTAGAATACAGTCTCAATGGCAGGTAACTGAGAAAAGAGGAGGGGATACCAGAATAAAATTGAGGCTTTCAAGTGCTCAAACGTGGCACTAAAGTCGGAGAATTAGTTAATATACGCTTGAGATTTCAATATTCTGTTGAAAGAATGAGCACCTTTACATAGGGATATTTCAGGCACATAAACTGATGTGATTTAGCTTAGCTTTTTTCCTCCACTTGACAGAAGATAAATATTATTGTTGCCAGTCTACAGAGGGTCCCAGTTATGCAAATTCTTGGTGCTTTAGTGATAATCCCTTGCTCGAGTTCCCCCTTCTTCCTTCTTCCATCCCTGCCCTATATGGCAAGGAAGAAAGGGGCTTGCACTTCAGTGGTGCTCTCCGATCCTTTGAATCTAGAACCTGAAGCTGGAAAACTTGTGATTTCATCTCTTAGCTGGGCTAGAACCCGAAAGGCTTCCCTGGATGGCTTACTGCCTGTGGGAACTTTCTAGAGAGTTACAGCTCTTGGCAGCTCAGCCAAATCCATCATCAAATGCCTACACAGAGTCTGCTCTGTAGCCTTCACTGTGAGGTCACCCTGTCTACCTCCTCTGAGACCTGGAGGCAAGCCTGCTGACTCCTCAGCGGCCCGTGTCCTCTGTGGGCCTGAAACCACCTCCACCTCTGCATCTCTTGTAAGGTGTGCACAATCAAAGCGCGATTTAGACTTCCTCACTTGGTCTGTTGTCCGTGTATTCATGTCATGCTGTTCTGTTGACAATGGTGCTGTCTTCCCACATCAGGGCTGGAGACCCTTCTGCTGTGCTTTGTTTTTAGAATTCCAAATGAGAAGTCACAAGCAAAGCTCTTTGTTTAGCGTTTATCTTACTAGCTATTTGGTATACAGAAATTAGGCTCTGCAATCTACAAAATTGCTTATTCAAATTCTGCACCTCTTTACCTTCCTCTTGTCCACCACAGACCAGCTGGGAGGATCCATACCCCTAGTGTGGTAATCTTTAATCAGGACAGTAAGGTTGTGGATGTCACTTTAGAGTTGGGAAGAACTGGGTCCCTAGGAGTAAGACTTGAAACTATCCTGGAAAGCGTGGTCCATTGAACTGGAAAAGGACCATCGAGGTGGAGCACACAGCATCTGGAAGAACTTCCTCTATAACCCAGCAAGCTTGAATGGCTCATAAATTCAAGAGGACACAGTGAGGTGACAAAGTCCCAAGATGACAATGTGCAATCGGCGTGCTGAAATATGCAGAGAGTGTATTGAAATCTAGACTTGATGAGCACACAGAGAAAACTCTGTTACTTCTCTCCAGTTACCAGGGACCAAGAAACAATGCTTTCTAAAATCTTTTCCCTTGAGGAAGCAAATTCATTCCAAACTTTTAAGTAGATTCTATGACTCTCAGGTGACGTTTAAGAGTTAAATACAGCAATCTACTCTAGTTTAAACATCCAGTCTTATTGTCCACTTTGACCTTCTTCTGCTTCGTTCCATCCACTGAGAAGCAACCATTTTTTTCAGGAACTCGGGGAACAGGTGAAATATGGCCTGCTGCTGTTGTGCAACTAGCTCCCCTTCCTCCTCTGTTTTAAGTCCTTTATAATCAAAGAAGAGGACTTCTAGGGAAAGAGTAAACGGCTTTGTCTGAATAGACATTCAGTCCTCTCCACGTTGCCTCTTTCAGTTTCACCAACTAGTAATGATACAATTAGCATTTAGAAACCACATCCCAGTGCCAGTAATACCTCTTAATATCTACCATCTATATATTCATATCTATCATCTACCTATCATCCATCCATCTATCTATCTATCTATCTATCTATCTATCTATCTATCTATCTATCTATCTATCTATCTATCTCTTCTATTTTCCTATCTGCCTGTCTACCTTATCTATTAACTTAATCACAAAATTTGATAAAATCGATATTTTCTTTCACGTGTGACTGGTGGTACCCATGGCAGCCACTATCTGAAATGATTCCAGCTCCTGGGGGCAGTACTGTCTTACTCTCCCCCAGTTTCACCTCTTAATGTAGCCTCTAGCTTCCCAGTAGAAGCAGAGAACATCCCAGAACCTTTGGTTTTAGTGGTTAAACTGTAAGTTGAGCATGTACTGACTTTTCCTTTGTTCTTTTTCTTTGTCTGTGGTTTCCTATGGACACTTCCTCTCCTGTTACCAGAGTGGAGGTAAGAATTCATTGTTATCCCAAAGTTTCATGTCACTTGTGGTTTTGATTTACCATAACAAGGATTTGTCTACTGAGAACTATAAATTTTTGAGCATTTCTCATGTCTAAAGCTGTTCCATATTTTTATAAAATGATAAAAAATGAAAGGTCAACTGAGTATTTACTATGCGTCAGATGCTCTCCGTAAGTTATTTGTATCCTCCAGCTATCCCCATCACATAGAGACCATGATTGCCTCTGTCTTCACAAAAGAAACCGAGAAACTCTTTGCACTGAAAGCTCACTCAGGTAGAGATGAGGCAATTTGAATGAAGCTCAAGACTAACTCCAGAAGTCTTCTTGTATTTTTCCAAGAGATAATAAATATCAACTTATAGAAGTTTTAACCATAACGTTTTATATTAAATTGACTTTCATTAAAACTCTATATGGCAACCCGACATAGTTCATGCATCTAATTCCAACCCTCCAAAAGGTGAATCAGAAGGATCAGATGTTTAAGACCAGGCTGGACTGCATAGCGGGTTTGAGGCTAGCCAGGCTACATAGTGAATTTGAGGTCAATCTGTGCTACATGATATTTTGTCTCAACAAGCAAATGAAAGAAAAAAGAAAAAAACAATCAAGCAATTTACCAGGTGTGGTGGTGTCTACTTGTCAGACACTGGAAGCTAAAACAGAAGTATAGGATTTCAAAACCAGCCTTGGCTTAAGGAAACCCTGTCTTGGAAAACCCAAAACCAAACAGGTGAATAAACAAACCAAAAAAGCTTTCAAAATGCCACGGTGTGAAATAAGTACAAAGGACTAATTTATAATAGCAATAACGACCATTGCAGTTAGTGTTATGGTACCCGTTCTCATTTTAACATTGCAGGGACTTTAGGGGGAGGTGTTTTTATTCATGCTTTTCCATACAGGGACCCAGATGCAGCAAGGGTTGCTAGACTTCATGGGTCACAAAATGCTAGGCCTCCATCAACATTCGGGCAGACAGACTCCAGAACTCAGGCTCAAAACCACTGCACAGCAGTGCCCTAGCAAGGGGACCAGAAAGTGAGAAGAATGTAAAACTCTAGACACTAGCTTGAATTCCACAGCGTATAATAACTCAACACACAATAAAATGTGGTTCCTTCTAAATCTCATCTCTGCACATACAGTCTCAACGTCTGCTGTGAGGTGAATTGTTAACTATTAAGTGCTTCTCGCAGTTCCTAGAGGCGGTATACTGCCTCGTAAGAGCTTGACAGTGAAGTCTAGGATATCTACCTGTCTACTGAAGGAAGGGGCATATGAAGGAAGCACGACAGGAGTTAAAATACAAGCCATTTGACAACGAAGACACACGTGACACCTTTCGTTCCCATGCCTGTTAATATAACTGCCCTTCGTGCCTTTTTAAAACCAAGTATTCTATTGTTGGAAATATTTTGGAAATGGACACACAAAACCAACTTTACTCTCCCATGCCCCTGGAGGTTTGTATTTTCCTATATAGAAAGATTAATTGTATGATAGCGTAATAGTGGAATTATAGATTCCAAGGGCTTAAAGAGTAGACATAGGTCATCTCCATAGAAGTGAACTCAAATGAAGACGTTCAAGCATATTAGTAGATAAATGGACGCTAGACAAAGAACAACTTCCAGCTGGATGTGGAAATGGCGCAGGTCATCCCAAGCCTCAGAAGACGGGGACAGAAGACCGGTGAAGTTTTGAGGCCAGCTTAGGCAAAGTGAGACCACGTTTCAAAAGTAAAAGGAACCACCCCATCCACTTTTCTCTTGTGATAATGTAAATACTCTCAGACTCTGCTGATAGTGAGATAGTGAGAGTGGTTTTATGAATTCCAACTTAGAAATTTTTATTAGTCTTAAGTTAGTTGTATCTACAGACAAAAAAACCCACTTTTAGAAATCTATTCTAATGAAATAATAAGACTTATGAACACTAGGCACACTGCTCGCTCTCATGGATATAACATATAAACATTATATGTGTCTACTGATAAAGGAAATTGATTAGAAACTCTGTTTTTTTTTTAAGGCACAGACAAGGTTTATAGTATGTTATGGGGCAAAAATACAGGATGCAAAAATGTATTTACAGTTCAATTCTGATATTTCTGTATATAAAAATATATAACTTATTATACACAAATATATAATATAGGAAATACTGTCTATGGGATTAATATAAATCATGTTAGGTTTAGAAATATATTTATGTTTATTTTATTTGCTCTTTGAGAATTTCATATAGTTTATATTTCTTAATCATATTCTATCCCTGTTTTCCAAGCCCTCTTGAATCTGCCCCCCCTTACCCACCCAAGCTCATATTCTTTCTCTCTTTTAACTTCTGGAAAAGACAAAATTAGTTTTCCCCATTTTTCTGGTTTTTTAATAAAAAAGAGCTTCTTCTTTATACTCCAGTACATTTTGTATAGAAAAAGTTCTCAGCTTTTGCTCACAGGAAGCACGAGAGGTCATGTCCTCCTCACCGAGGACATCGCGCTTGGCAGTTCAGCCAAGTGACATTTGATAGCTATGCTACAGCGGAGGTTGGCTAACATCCTCTATAAAGGGTCAGATATTAATATATTCACTCAGTGAGCCATAAAGACACTATTAAAACTGCTCGCCCTGGTGGTTTAGCCCAAAGCACCTGTGGAAAGTGGGTAAGCAGGTACAATTGCCTTTTTTTTAAAAAAAGAAATAAATAAAACTTCATTTGTGGACATATATTTGATGCGTATGCAGTTTCACATGTCATCAAATAGTCTTTTTAGTTTTTCACAGCCACTTAAATATAGATATCATTCATAGCTCTCCAGAGAAAATAAAAAGTCTTTAAAGCAAAAGCATAAACTTTAAAATAAGAAGGATACGACCTCAGTCACATAGAGGAACAAGTTGAAGAGACCTTTCATAGGACATGGTGACCAGAGTTAATAACAATGTAGAGAATTCTTTTAAAAAGATCTCTAAACAGACTTGAATTGTTCTCACCACAAATGGTAATATGCATCTGATACAATGCATGTGTTAACAAATCCAACTTAGCCATTCTGATATATGTAAATGTCTAAGTATCATACACAACTTCTGTCAATTGTATTAGTTAAAAAGAAAATTTTTCTTAGACAAAAGACTGAAAAAAATGCCATTTATATGCTACTTTGAAAAAAGGGTGTCCCTTCATGGTGCGTATATGTGAACATTTAAATTGGTTTTAAGTACATGTAATCATGAGTAGTAATAACTGATCTCATTCCCAGGTTTTAAAATATTATCAAAAATCATGAGGTCCTTTTTTGAATCTGGGTATTTCTTTAAGAGTGGAGTCTGACAGGTCTTGAGTTATACATGCTGGCCTGAGCCTTAGCAAAGGAATGAATCACTGACAGACAACAGCGCTTTGAAGGCAGGGGAATGGCTGGGAACCTCCTTCCGCATCACCTTTGTAGGGGAAGTGCGGCAGTTGCTATGTAAGGGGAGATCCTAGGAGAAGGACGGCTATCGGGTTTACCTCCACTACAGGAGCTAATGTCAGAAACCAAACAGGACATAGCTGGCCCTCTGCATATGCCCTTGGACAAAGTTCAAAGGAAAGAGATGCTCCCTCCTTCACAGAAACAGGAAGGTAGTCCTTCGGGATGTGATTCAGACTTGTTTTAGAAGAGAGGAAAGGGGGGAAGAATCGCATGAATGTTCCGTTTGACTTCAGGGCCGTCCTTCTTAAGAGGCGGCGAGGGAGGAATCTAGGACCAAATACCCGTTCTTGCTCCTGCAGAAGGTGTGCAGCCAGGTCTGCAGTAAGGAGGTAATACAGGAATGGGTATCATGTGCAAGACTAACTCCTGGATTGAAGAGCTGGTTTACCGGAACAGTCCAGAATAGTCGGCTTTCTGTAAAGGGAGCTCTGTGACCTCTGCCCCACTGTTCAAAAGAGTCACAGAACCAGCTGCCCGCAAGACAGGAACGATGTGTCAGGAACTATGATAGAGACACACAGTCTCAGGTGGGCAATGCGAAAGCCCACAGAAAACACAGGGGTAGAGGGCTTCTATTCACCTCAACTCCCAGTTCTTGCTGGGAGCCCCATTCAGGGTTTTTATTAGTATTACTTCAAGATAAATTTAGAAAGTTTGTGGACTAAATAATTCAATCTGCATCCATTTCTGGTATCTAAAATTAGATAGCTGTGTAAAATTTGAGTTTTATAAACGTCTTCAAAAAGGGGAGGTTTAAATTACCAAAACTGTGACTAGGAAGTTCACTGGTTTTTAAGAGGTGATCTCTAGATATATAAGATATATCTTTCTACGCATTAATATGTCTATATATACATATATAGACATACATACATACATAGTGAATATTTGTATGCTTGGGTTGTGAAGGTGATCAAACATATGTACGCTAGCAAAAGTCTTCAAAACTTGTTCAACTCTCTTCTGCTCTTTTATTCTTTGATGACTAATTCCTTATTTCTGAGACCATTTTTACTAGTTTTCCGTAGGGTCTTTTTCTTTTTCCAAAAGGACGTGTTTTGTTTGTGCAATTAAAGGGAAATCACCAATGTGCATTATATTGTGATGTTCATGGAAAAACAAGAGTTAGCTCCATTCAGTAGTTAGCACTCGACATTAGGACCCGGATGAGTAGCCCACGTTGTGAGACACATTCAACTTTTACAGGATACAGGGTTTGTTTGTTTGTTTTTTCCTGCTCTTATTCACTCCCTCATTTTTACTAAAAAAAAAATCTATGTAGTACCATTTCACTTGTATTTTAATAAATAAAATTTGCCTGGGATCAGAAAAGCAGAGCAGCCAGCCACTGGTTCTTACCTCGACCTTAGTCCAAAATGGCAATGCCGGCTCCAGGAATCTCAGAAAGAGACTGTGTCTGAGAGCTGTTTCCTCCTGTCCTATAATCCACTCCAGGGCTGGGATTGAAGGTGTGTACTGCTACCGCCTGCCTGTCTATAAGGCTGGCCAGTGTGACTGTTTTACTTTTCTGATCCCCAGGCAAGCTATATTTCTTAAAACACAAGTGAAACGCCACTAGAAATACGTGAGACTGCTGGCAAACCAGGCTGGGCTCCTTCTGGTTGTTGGTTGTTAGTCTGTTTTGCTGAGCTACAGTAACCACATCTTTTTTTTTTTTAATGCCACAACAAATTGGCTTCCCTAAGTGGGTTATTTTCTGATTCAAGGTTTTTTATTTTAAATATCCCGTATGAACTAATTGGCATAACAATGGTTTGGCTGGCCAATTACTAAGTGACCAATCCAAACTGAAACTATCTTATGAAACATGGTTTTATTTGGATGCATGGTGTCTTGTTCTAATGGGTTTGTTTCAAAGACCTGACAGTGTTAATTTATACAGTGTGGACTTTTTAAGTTCAAATAGTGTTCCCTAAGCATTTAGAAGTTCACAAACTTCAGTCTGCTGAATTTCTTTACTCTCAATCTTTTATAGACTGGTAATGAAAAGTTAAGTCTTAATAGTAAATATTTACAATTAATGGCATGCCTTTAATGAGAAATATGATTGAAGTTTTCCATCCCATTAGTGATTGAGATCTCGTGGGAACCATAAAAATACAGAAGCCCATGATGGGGCCTATACATGATAAATATTCAATAATTGCCAAGGAGTCTATGAGTTATTATCGTCCCAGTAAAGAAGTGACATAGCCAAGATGGGAATGTACTAAACATTTTGGGTACTTAGCTACGGTAACATAGATGGTTTTCAAAACTGCTGATACTTTTTCCACGGGAACAATTAATATGTTCTCTCATCTGTTATCCACCACAAAGGATATTTTTTTCTTGGATTTTTATCAATTTGTGTGCAAATCAGTATGTGAGCTGACTGGAGCAAGAACAATCATTCTGTGTATAACGTAAACAACAAAAACGCCTAAATTCATTCAGTTCTCGACCGTAACCAAAGCTTTCCATAGCTTGCGGCATCTGGAGGTGACACTGTTGCTCCTGGGAATGGGGAGATTTTTTTCAGACGAAACATTTCACCACACTTGCCGGGACAGTCTCTCCCTATTTCTGTGATGCAGATGTGAGGGGTGGCGGAGGCAGAACGGATGCCAAGAAATTGCATCTGACGGGTTACGCTGCTCATCACTTCTTTCAGTAAATCACAGAAAGACAGCAAAGGCTACTGCGCCCAGTACAGAGGGGAGGTGTGTGATGCAGTCCTGGCCAAGGATGCCCTGGTCTTTTTCAACACCTCCTACTCAGACCCCGAGGAGACCCAGGAGCTGCTGATCCACACTGCGTGGAATGAGTTGAAGACTATGAGCCCACTCTGCCGGCCGGCTGCCGAGGCTCTGCTGTGTAACCATCTCTTCCAAGAGTGCAACCCAGGAATGGTACCTACTCCCATGCCCATTTGCAGGTAAAACTTTGAAAATGCATAAAATATTTCATTCTTTGTATGCCAACCGTTTGCAAAAGAAGACATAGTCAAGAGCAGTAGGCACTTACGTGGTGCACATACATGTACGTGGAAAAACATTCCCACACATGAAATTAATGATTGGCAAAATTCCTACTCATTCAAAGAAAGTAATTAAAAAGACAAAATTTCTCCCATTTCCAGCACTGATGCCAATCTATGATGCAGATACTCTGAATTTGCAGAAACTATTCATCTCAATCAAAAAGTGGCTTGCACACAAAAAGATCCCTGTGATATATGTGTGCATAAGCACACACACAAAATTTTCTTTCTCTTTGATAGGGATGTAGGACACGTGTTATAGTGTGTGTGTGTGTGCGTGTTCATGCTACACAAGCTTGGGGTGCACCCAAGCCCTTATGAATTTCCATTATTTTCCCTCTTAAATTATTTTCTCCTCTTATTATCAGCCCTAACAACCTTAATTTGGAATTACCCAGGGTTGTCTTGACGCAATTTGTCCCAGGAAGTCCAAAAACATATGTTATCTTTCCATCCCAATTAGTACAACTAGCTTTTCCTCAGCTCTTCTACACACTCCACAGCTTCCCCGGGCTGAACAGCCTCACACTGTCTCTAATTGGGCATCTCAGGTGGAAGCCCTTAGACCCCTAGGGCAGAACTCTGCTCTCCAGGGAAGGGCTGGCCTAGGAACCCAGGGTGCTCCTGCAAACCATTGCTGGTGCCGCTGTTCTCTTCCAGGGAGCAGAGCAAGCAGGTTCAAGGTGTCCTTTCTCAAGGCCGGCCCATCAGGCCATCAGGCCTGGGGTGATGCCATGTTCCTTAGTTCATATGCTCTTTAAACTATCAACTTTGTTTCTGTATCTTTGTTTTTTTTTTTTAAGGTTACTGATTTAATTTTATGTGTATGAATGTTTGTCCTGCACGCATGTATGTGCACATGTAAGTGCCTATTGGATCCCTCGGAACCACAGTTACAGACGACTGTGAGCTAACATACGGCTGCTGGGAATTGAACCTGGGTCTTCTGCAATGGCAGCAAGTGCTCTAGACCTCTGAACTATCTCTCCAGCCCCTGTACCTTTATTGTTAATATGAACTTCAAGTGATGATATATCAGGGACTCTTATCTAATTCGTTCTAAATTTAAGGGGGAAAAAAACCTAAACAAGATAGCATTTCGTCTCACAGCACAGTATACTACATTTTTAATGCTTATATTTTATAATGCCTTGCATTGGTTAAGTCACAAAGAGTCATTTAAAAATGCTTTTGTAAGCAAAGACACCGTGATGCGACGCTGTTTCAAAAATACAAAATTTAAGCCTCACTGCAAATTTGCCTTTAACTCGCCGTGGTTCATCAGGTCTTGCTCGCCCTTCTACATTTTAGAGAGTACTGCTTGGCCGTGAAGGAGCTGTTCTGTGCAAAGGAATGGCTGGCGATGGAAGGAACGACCCACAGAGGACTCTACCGCTCCGGGATGCATCTCCTCCCGGTGCCAGACTGCAGCAGGCTTCCCAGCATGCACCGGGATCCCATGGCCTGCACAAGACTGCCCTATTTAGGTAACATGGAGTTCCCTCCAGACTTTGGAAGTTAAAGCAAATTTTCTGTTTAGAGTCAAGTAAGGTGTGTCCTTAAAGCGCCTAACATTTTCAGGCTTTCTAGGCTGTTCTAATGTTTTTCGCTTTGCCCTCTCCACACACGTTAACAGCAGAATCCTATAATACTACCCTAATCACTTAGGTTAGCGTAAAGATTAATTTGATTTGTTTTCAAATAAACCAAAGGGCACTTTTAACTGCTGCTTGGATCTTGCTTTATTTCTTTCACAGGGGATCCTGAGTGTAACATTTTCTGGGATGTATGGGCAAACGGCTAAGAAATATCTCATAGTTTGTCAGAGGAATGGCGTAAAGGAACAAATAATCCTCTTTTTTAGCCAACGGTGCAGATTTTTTTAGAGCATGCAGAAAACAAGCCACATGTTTGGAAACGCTGGCCTCACAAAACCACACCGAGCGACTGCATGGTGTTTTATGAGTTTCGTTTGTAAGGACGATGCTACCCTAACGGCTGGTTTCGTTTCAAAGATGCGCTCTTCACGTTTGAATGCTTTTCTGTCACTCATGTAAACGCTGGCAGGGAAAGTCGCATTTCTTAGCGGTAGCTCAAGGATCTAGGAGATACCTCAATGCTTACTTAAAACCAATTTTTATCCTTTCCCCCTCAGATTATAAGAAAGAAAACATAACAAGTAAGTAATTCCGTTTGTGCCTCTGAAATCTTCTGTGTCTGTAAGTGGGTTCGTGCATGTGTTATTTACATTACTCTCCCCATCTCCAGAACAGAATGCACTGAGCGTCATCAGCCCCCCCCCCCACACACACAGGGGCGGGGCTCATCCCCTGCCTCAGCTAGAACGTGATGCTTAGCGAAGGGAACAAATATTATCTCCTTCCTCAAGATGGTTGGCCTTTTTTATACCTCAGATGTTTGAAAAATCAGTCAAGTTTAACTGAAGATTTTGGATTCTGCAGCAACAATTTCATACAATGTAATTATTTTTGGGTAGAAACAAATACCATTTTTCTCTACTGAGCTGTTTTGTGATCTTCATTTGTAACAAGTCTTTCTTTTTTTGGGAATAGGTGTACTTTAAAAAAAAATTTTTTCTTAGTCTTCTTTTAGTCCTTGAATTTTTATACACAAATTCTATATTAATTGCAGAACGTTTTGTCATTTGAACCAAGGTGGGGGGGGAATGAAAAGGCAATGGATCATCTATAATCCTACTTTTCGTAATATTTTGTTTTAATTCTAAAATTAACCATTCTACTAGTAACAAAGAGGAAGCTCTTAGTATGTCACTGGAACCTCCTTTTTCTTGCTGTGTTTATTTATTAGTAGTTCTTTGGGACTTTTGTGCGACACATTTTGATCGTGTTCATTCATTTAACCTATTCCTTTACTCAACTCTTCCCTGCCCTCCCCAAATCAAACCTTCAAGACCAATGTGGGCCATTGTTTCTATCTGAAGACTCAGAAAAAATTCAATCCTTCTTAAAAGGCGCTCAAATACAGTGGGGTTTTTAGTGGTGATGGGGAATCAACTCGATGTCAGACAAGCCTTCTACATCTGAGATGCATCCTGGATTGTCTTAGATGTGATCTCTTTCAGTAGCTCACACTGGCCTTTAGCTTTCTGGCTTTGATTCTTCTGTAGCTGCAAATGTTGCCACCATGCACTGGCTCAGAGTGACTGCCCTACACACTGGCTTCAGTGGGAAAACTTTAAGAAGTGTAGCTGCCCAGGTTCCCCACATACACATTCTGGAGCATTTGGTGTGGAGTGCAATCTAGGATTTGAGCTTCCTCTTACATTTTTAAATTGATACATAAAATTGGATGTATTTGGGGGAGTATTTTGTGATGGTTTGATTTCCTGTATTAGCATTCAAGCCAGATAATCCTGTTCCTCATCTCCCTATTTATCATTTCTTTGAGGTAAAAAAAAAAACCTCAAAAACCCTTCCTTAATTTCTCTGTAATATAGAATGCTGTTTTCTGACTGTGGAATTAGTTTTTGTTTGATCGTTTGGTTTTTATGATTGTTGTTGCTTCAGAATAGCCACCTTTTAGTAGAGTGTTTGCAAAGCTAAGCAAAATAATGTTGGAAGGGTCATCAGGAGGGCCAGCAAGACAGCTCAAAGGGTAAAGGTACTTGCTGCCAATCCTGATGGATCAGTCCCCGGGACCCACATGCAGGAGAGAAAGAACCGCTACGAGTTGATATACTCAGCAGCACAAACTAGCTACAGATGTTAGTTTCTTGACTTTAGAAAAACACTCGTATGAGATTTTTTTTATACATTTGAGAAAATCAGCTCCAGCTCTTGTAAAAAGATAATTTTCTCTGGACTTGGGTGGGGAATGTCTGTGCTCTCTGAGTTAAAAGCAACTTGTCTTCTCTGCTAACTTATAGTGGGATGATTCTCGCAAGGAAAGTGTTCTGAATACACACACCAAGTCGCATTCAATGGGAATGTTTTAAATCTTCAAATATTCCTCTTTTCATGATTTACTTTTTAAAAAGGTCTTATTACATTTATTTACTTAGCATGTGTGCGCATGCGTGTGCATACACTCACAGGCCAGAGGACAACGTGTGAGAATCAGTTCTACCATATGGGTCCTGGGGATCAAACTCAGTTCATCTGGCTCGGTGGTAAGTGCCTTTCCACACTGAGCCATCTTGCAGGTCCTGCTTTATGGCTTCTCAGTAAATCCCAAATATCATTACTAGCTCACTTTGAGGTGCAACTGAAAAACTTTTAAAGTCCTTTTTCTTTGCTTTAGTTTTTTTCTTGCTCAACACAGAAGCTAGAGTTTCAGCAGTCTCTGGGGTTGTTTTACATTAACATCATCTTTTGCTGAAGTGAAATATCTCCCTGAATATGCCATGACTTCACCATATTTACATCACCCTGCGCTAAACAGACTGTTTGTCTCTTCTGTGGGATTCCACATGCCTTCCAGGCACGCTCAGCAGTGCGCCTGCCTTCTATTTCAAAGCCTCTGTAGAAACGCAATGCAATCTGGCTTACTCTGGTAAGGGAGAGCTACATCCCTCCCATCCCCTTGTCCCTTCCAACTCTGCTCTCACCATTTCTGCACCCAGAGAATCTGTGTAACCCAATTCTGACAAACTGATTAGTGTGGTTGTGCACAGTCTCTCGTGAGGCCCCCAACAACCCTATTGAAGTAGGTACCATGAACACACTCCATTCTACATACTAGTCAGTGTGAGAAACAGATCAACTGACTCCCCTCATCCTCCACCCTCCCCAGGTCCTATGCAGTGTTGGCGCTAAGTCAGTATTCAGGCCCAATCTGTCTGCTGCTGGTCCTACCATCAGACTCTTCCCCCTCTCTGACCTATGTAGTATAGGGGTTAAGCCAGTATTCAAGCCCTAATATGCCTGGTTCTGGCTCCATTATCAGACTCTAATTTTTCAATTGTTACAACTGATGGTTTTCTATTACTCCCCCCCCCCTTTTTTTAATTTCCCAGACCTGACATGAAAAGTTTGCCTGGCTGTTCTGATAGATTTGCTCTACAGGAGATGCTGTTCTGGGGAAGCTCCTCTCATTGGCCAAAATGTTTCTAATTCTAAACAATCCAGACAACTTGACAATCCTCTTAGCAGCATTTCAATAAACGTATGCGTTGTTTCTAAAATTCAGTTTCCATCATGGTCAGATACTACTTTGGCCACAGATGAAGTGAGAGAGTGAGGGAAGGAGAGAGAGAGAGAGAGAGAGAGAGAGAGAGAGAGAGAGAGAGAGAGAGAGAGAGAGAGAGAGAGAGAGAGATGTAATGAACTAATATTTTAATCAATCATTTGAAATGCTAGTTGGGCCCATCTTATAGGGACAGGAAAGCTAGGAATTCACAGAATCAGAGTTGGAAGTGATGTTTGGAGTTCTCTCACGTGATTCCTCTCCTTGGGGAGAACATCCTCTGCATTGTCCCTGCAGACATTCCCTCTCCCAACTCAAACTCACCCCTTTAATTGTGAGAACATTTCGACCATGTCAAACTAACCTTGTTCCTCTATAGCTTCTCATAGCTGGTGGTTTTTCCATTCCTTTGGCTCACCCTCTGTAGCACGGACTTCAAAAATACTTGGAGACACGTGCCCTGCCTCCTTGTCGTTTCTTCCTCTTTCCACTAAACATTCCCATCTTCAACTTTTTCTTCTGTGAGTTGAGCTCCAAAGTCCGTACCTTCATGTCTGCCCTGCACTGGCAGTAGGAAGATGAAGGGACGTTCAGGACTGAATGCAGCAGAGAGAACAGGGTCTGGTGAAAATTAGAATGCAGTAATTGTCTGTGATTAAGGCTTGTTCTTTCATTAGTGTTGAGTAAGCTTTACGCTAATTGCCTAATCATCTCTCTCAATGATGTACGTTCAACCCTAGCACCACGTGAAAGAGAACCGGGATGGCAAACACTCAATGCCACTGCTGGAGAGGTAGAAGCAGGACAGGTCCGAGGACTCATTTTTTTAAAACTAATTTTTGACAAGTTATTTTTCCACTTTCCTATGAAAGCCAGGTCCTAGCTTTTCTTTCACGTTCCTCATTCTTCCCACTTTTAGAACCTTTAGAATCTCTAGGGAGAGCCTCAGAATACTCTTCCCTTGCTGTTTACTTCCCCGGCATCAGGTTTTACCTTGCAGAATGACTGTCTCTAGACTTTTATTTAGAGAATTAGATGAAGTTCCCAGTCATGTCATCATTATCTACTTAGGCTAAAATCAAATATCTTGTATTATTGCTTTTTATTCTTATATTGATGTCTCCTTCAGATTCAGCTGGTCTGTAGTCAGATGTTTTATGTATTTCCTCAGAGGAGATCTTGAGAGTGAATCGTTGAGGTGGTGAATATCGCCCAACAGTCTCCTCTGACCTCAGTAACTGGGGTGAAATAGCAGGACAGGAAGATCTTAAGTGACATAGTATTTCTCTATCCAGCATGTAGATGTTATTGTAGCTTTTCTAGCTTCTAGTTTGGAAAGCGAGTATTTTAATGTTTCTGGCTATTTTTTTAATATATTTTTCTCTCTGTCTGGGCAGAAGCTTTTAGTTTTTCTCTTTGTTGGTGGTGTGTGTGTGGTAGAAATCCTGCCCAACGGTGTGCATCACACATGTCTTTCTGATTCTTTCCTTAGGAGATCCTGTTAGGAGCTAGAGATCAGCCACAGTGGGGATGATGTCATAGACAGCAGGGAGACGTCTTTCTAATGCACCAAGCTGACCAGTTGCTGCACTGCTTGAAGCCTCCTGTGATTTTCTCCACTTGCTGCAAGGCAAAGGCCAACCAACTCCCCTTGGCATACGAGGCCTTCTTATGACCTAAAGATGGATGATACCTGTATTAACTATAAAATTCCCATCTGCAGCAATGCAACTCTCAGGCACACTTTGGGAGAAGTCCAACAGCTTGGTTCCAACCCAGTAGATGCATTTCTTCCTTGGAAATCCTGTCTCCCCACCCTCATTCCACTCAGCTGTCATGACGCCCCCTGTGCAGCCACCTGCAGTAGCCGTGCTGGCTTTGGCCTATTAGCATACGGTAACAAAGCACAATAGAAGGAGAAGCCTGTAAGCCACAGGAATCTGTTTCTTGGAGTTCTGGAATTTGGCTATCCAGGATTAAGGCATAGACATATTTAGTGTCAGGTGACGATACAGATTACTGCCCTATACATAGCTTCGGATGTCACCGTCTTCCCACAGGGGAAACATAAAGACGCCAAGTTTGTTAACCAAAAATTAAGGCTAAGGCAGAAATAGAATGGAAATCTGATTTGGTCATTTGGTTTAGAGAGGTAGCTGACAGAGCTCTGGAGAAAACCTGAGCAACTTGTTCTGCTGAGCAGCAATCAAAGAATCATAATAGAACTAGCCAGAAAGGAAGGAATGTTTGAAACCATACAGAATTACTGGTGAAACTATGTCAATTCTTGTGTTTTAAAAATAAATCTTTCAGATTTATGGAGCTTTAAAACACACGTCATTAAAATATACTTTCTAATAATTTAGTGTGTGTTTGCGTGTGTGTGGGTTGGGTGGGTGAGTGGATGGTTTGTGTGCGTCTGTGTGCACATGTGTATTTTGGGTAGATACACCTGTGTGAACATACGTGGAGATGAGACATTGATGTCTTCATCACTATCCATCTTATTTTCTGAGACAAGGACTCTCACGGAACCTGGTGCTTACTTAATGGCTAGATACGCCAACCAGCAAACTCTGGGACCCAGCTGTCTGTGCCCCCCTCCCCAGTCCTGGGATTACAAGTTCATGTCACCACACTCAGCTTTTCACTGGGTTCTGGAGATTCAAAACACTCATCCTCATTCTTGTATAGCAAAGGTTTTATCTACCGAACCAATTTTCTGATATTTTTTGAGAGAAAAACGACCCATATGCTTCCGGATTCTATCAACTTTAGAAGTTATATCGTATTATTTCGTGTATTATATGCAATATGAATAGCTCTATAAAATCCACATATAAAAGTAACATTAATCTGTATCTTTTAGTAATTTTACTGTATTTCGAATGAGGAATTTGCTGACTTTTGTAAGATTTCCTTTGGACTGAGAAAGCTGGTGGTGACCGTGGACCAGTGTTAGACCCCAAGCCCACCACGGCTGTGTCTTGATGTCTCTTGCTGTACTGAGTGTTTTCCTGTACCACGTGCCTTCCTAAAGTCACAGCAGTGACCAAGCTTGACCTCTGCAGTTCAAAGCCACTTGCTTAGCCATCAGTGGGCAACAGTTTTCACTATGTCCACTCCTCAATGAGAAGTCATACATAAACACCCCTTGTAGCCTACACTTTCACGAACGCTGTTTCACATGGCCCTGGGCACTCTTGTACTAAAGATTTTCTTTTGTTCAGCCAGCAGTGGTGAGCTACCACGACTCCAAACTAAGTAGGCAGAGGGAGGCACTTCTTACAGCCCATCGCTTTAAGGATGCCCTTTTCTAAATGTCTTTGGCTCCTGTTGAAATACGGTTTTCTTTGGTGGTTTTGATTTTTTTTATATTACTATCTTCCCACTTGTGAAACCTGTATTCTCTTACTGTACTGGGATCAGTCAGCAACTGCTCACTTAGACACTTCTGAAGCTCTGTCATAGTTGGCGTGTGCCCTTTGCTTCCATACTAATGTTTCTGGGTTACATACTAGCACTGGAACTTCCGCAATGGGTTAAACGTGTGTTCTCTAGATGGGACGTATTGCGATAACTGGAATTTTAACTCTCTCGTCTCCCAAGCATGTTTGTCATTATGCAATGGTATTTAAAAGTAATTTCTTACTTACGGTTCTACTCCTCAAGCATATTTTTGTTCATATTTGGTAACTGCTGTATTCCTATCATTTTCTCTAAGATTTTGAAATGTGATTACATAATTACATACTGTTTTGTTTTTATTGATCTTTGAGTCTGTCGAGGCAACCCTTCTTAATTGCTACCTTTGTGGCTTTCTTGTCTTTATCCAATTAAAATTCCACTCATTCGACCATGTTCTAAATATTTAAAAGACTTGAACTTGACTCATCTCTGTCATTTGGGGTGTGTGTAACTTAGTAACTTCTGCTTGCACACAGGTATTGTTGTGTCCCCTGTTTTCCTTTTGTTCTCAAGAGTTCCTGTTGCTTGTCTAAGGTCTCGCATTCCATTCATTCTCCTCCTCATGTGTGACAGAAGCCGAGAAAACCATGAGTTCGTCAGTGACCGCAGTTTTAGGCTAATTTCATACATGCCATTAAGACTTTTTTCTGACCTCTAGCTATGGCTACTTCTACTTCTAAAAAAGAAAAGCAACACATTTCTCTTTTTCTTCGTCATCCTGTTGGATTCTATTTAATCTCTCACTAGATGCATTTTGGGCGAGAGAACAAAGCTGTGCATTTACGCTTTTGAAATTTATTGAGGTTTGTCTTTATGGCCTAATGGCAGCCACATCTGTCAGTCTTCCCCAGATGTTTGAGGAAAAGATCTTCTTCTTTTAGGCTACGAAGCTGATTCTTAGCTGTCAGGACTGGTTTGGGTTATGTATAAAATATTCTCTTTCCATGGTTTTTGTCTTCACTCCCTCTGCAATGAAGATTTCAAGGTATCCATAATAAGGCTTTTTAACTACATCCACCATGACCTTGCAAGCAGGGCAATGCAAGGGTAGCATCTGTCTATTCTAGCACAAATGCAGATTTTACTTGTTTTCTTAATCTTATTGGCCTGTTCACATGGGAGTTTGACTAGAGTTCAAGTTTTAGATGAATTGACTTCTGCTCCTTTTTATCCCAATGATTTCGTTGCTCATCTTCTTCCATTATTTTTATTATTTGTAAACCCACCACACACATGTTCAAACACACACACACACACACACACACACACGCAGAAGCTCAGCTCAGATGTTCTCACCTTCAGTCTCTTTATGTGAAAATATTTTTAGTGCATATTTTGAGTCAGGCATAAGAAGCCTAAGCCTGGTATTTATATTTCTTTCAGAAAATCATATTTCTCCTCTGAGTCTCCTCTTCTTTTGCAAAGGAACCTTAATCCAGGACTTTACAGACAGCTCACCAAGGAGCTCCTGATACCCTAGCATATCTTTCAGGCTGTGGCAGTGAGTGCTGCAGTTAAAACACTGATTCTGGAAGTTTCCAAGATAAACAAGAAGCACTTTTGTTTCCCTGCAGCATTCCCGCCGATAACGTCCTCCAAGCCGAGTGTGGACATTCCAAATCTGCCTTCCTCCACCTCTTCCTTCGCTGTCTCTCCTGCATACTCCATGACGGTCATCATTGCCATCATGTCCAGCTTCGCCCTGTTTGCCCTCCTTACGATCGCCACCCTTTACTGCTGCCGAAGAAGGAAAGAGTGGAAAAACAAGAAAAGGTATGGTTCGAGTCCAAGCCCGCCACATACAGCCATGCCTTTTAGCCCACATGCTCGGTTCTGGAACTAGGGATTAGAAGGGGAGCGTCTGCCACACCACCGTCACCTTACTAACACGTCCATGCCCTGGCTGTAACATTAACCTAACTTGAACTTTAAAAATGCCACAAGTACCAGAGTCAGTTTTTACAACAGAGAGACCTTAATCATTTGGTGAAAATGGCTACTCTTGCATCCCGTCTTCTCCCACCGCTGCCGCTGATACAGATAGTGATAACATGTGCCTCCCGACTAGAGACCAAGTGACACACTTCATTGTTCTCAAGCCCCAGAGCCCTCAGCAAACTTAGTACTATATACTCTAGGCATTTCTTAAGGATCAAGATCAAAGGCCGTTGTTGGTCTTGCCTCTCTCACCTGCAGGGAGTCAGCGGCCGTGACCCTCACCACACTGCCTTCCGAGCTTCTGCTGGACAGACTCCATCCCAACCCCATGTACCAGAGGATGCCACTCCTTCTCAATCCCAAGTTGCTCAGCCTGGAGTATCCCAGGAATAACATTGAGTACGTCAGAGACATCGGAGAGGGAGCGTTTGGAAGGGTCTTTCAAGCAAGGTAAAGTTAACCATGGTGTGGGGCGGGGTGAAAGGGCAGGGAGGAATCTCTGTGGAATTCACTGTGCTTGAAAAAACCCACCGGATTGTTAGACTGATCTACTGTATACAAGAGGGGATTACAATGGGCATGTTAGCTCTCTCTCTCTCTCTCTGTCTCTCTCTCTCTCTCTCTGTCTCTCTCTCTCTCTGTCTCTGTCTCTCTCTCTGTCTCTGTCTCTCTCTCTCTGTCTCTCTCTCTCTCTGTCTCTCTCTCTGTGTGTGTGTGTGTGTGTGTTTCCTCTAGTTGGTAAGTAACACATTGTTAAAAATAGTCTATGTTGAAAATAACTAGTGAATTTCCTATTGACATAAAGAACTTTAAGTTGACGACTGTCGTCGTCGTCCTTTGGTTGGTGGCTCAGCTGCATAAGCATGGTGGGGGCTCTATAAATGTGAATAAATATAATCCCGGGGTATAAACACCCCCATCTGTGCTTTATCTCTTAGGGCTCCAGGCCTACTTCCTTATGAACCTTTTACTATGGTGGCCGTGAAGATGCTGAAGGAGGAGGCCTCTGCAGACATGCAAGCAGACTTTCAGAGGGAGGCGGCCCTCATGGCAGAGTTTGACAACCCAAACATCGTGAAGCTCTTAGGTATGAGAATATCACCGAAGGAAAAGGCTTCCTCAGAGAAAACCTTTTCTAACCTTTTCTTCCTTTGTCTTTCTTGATCATCAGTGGGATGTCTCTTTCCTCCTTTCCTAGTTTAAAATCTTCACCCACTTTCTGACATACAGTTCACCCCAGCTTTCAGGACACTCGGTGCCTCACAGATATCCCTTTAATTCCATTGCTTCCAATGGTCTCAGTCACTGCTGCCTCTGTTCTGACTAGAAACTGCTTCAAGCATCTCCACACGAAGAAAATTCCCTTGAAAATAATTCACCATCACAGAATTTAATAAAGCTTAGAAGAATGTATGTCATAAGTCCACTTTATTTTTCCTTAAACTAGACCATCATGATTTCAATCATATTTTTGTTCATTGTTGTGTCCCCATTTCATCACAGATTCATAAATTTAATAAGTATTTCCCGAACAGTTTATAGAATTACATAGAAATAGCTAAACCTTTTAACATTATCAGGCCTTGTGGAGCTTACATTCTTTGGGGGAGATAGCAGAGGTAAACATGCATGAATGTGGCTTATATGCCTCTGATTTGTTTTAAAACTCAAAGTAAAGGAAGACTCTTTGGAATGTGAGATACTATCTTTGAAGACTTCAGTGGACATGTGTAAAGGCCTGCCTGAGGTAAGAGGACACTGTGGATAGATGGGAGAAGGCACAGGCCCCACGGCAAGCTTATCTAGTGCTGAAAACACAGCGGACAGGGCTGGGAAGAGGGTGCTCTGTGCACAGTGTCCACTGCACCAACATGAGCGCCTGCGTTTGGATCCCCTGCACCCATGTAAAGGCTGGGTATGGTGACACATGCCTGTAAATCCCAACACCGGGAGAGCAGAGACAAGAGGATCCCTGGGACCTAAAGTCAGTCCTTCTAGTGGGGTTCGTGAGCTTCACTATTAGTGAGAGAAGACAGGGAGTAACTAAGAAGAACCCTGACATTGGTGTCTATACCCCATACATGGGCACATACATGTGCACACATACCTACATACACATACACCTTACACACAAACATAAGCATGTGTACACACGAGGGGGAGGAGAGAAAGAATAAAAAAGTGATGGAGATGGTTTAAGAGAGTGATGTAAGACTGGATTCAATAGTAAATGCCGCAGGGGCTGTAGGAAGAGCCCGCAAGGCCTTCACATAAAGAACGAAAGAATAATGAGAAGGGGAGAAATAGTCTTCCTCAGGGAAGAGCTCACAACTCTTATTCAATGCCAAATGGTCAGCCCTGACAATATACAGACAAGTAACATTAAATAGGCTGACCATTGTACTTAGAATATGTCTTTTATACATACACACACACCAACACACACAGGCACACACACATATGCATGTAATAACAATTAATAAAAAGAGGCTATGAATTTGAAATGAATAAATTTGAAAACAAGGAGGGGGAAATGATGTAATTACAGTATAATCTCAAAAATGAAAGGCAAAACCCCTGACTTTTGAAATGTAAGTAAAATGGGAACCAAACAGAAAGTCCTGCCAAGAAGTGCCAGGCCATGGCATGACGTGATTCACACCCCCTCAGAAGGTCTGTGTCTGGTTTGCTGAGCAGGGCTGAAGGGAAGGCACTGAAAACAAGGGCACAGTGAATGGTGTCTTTCAGTATGCAGGAAGAGATGCTGGCACAGTCCAGGGAGTAAGTGGTGAGATAATAAAAAGGGATGGGTCTGTGTGCAACCTGAAGGTGGAGCCAAAGAATCCCTCGATAGAGCAAATGTGATTTTTGTAACAAAGAAGGAAAATACCCAAAGAGCAATCAGGGAACCCTGACGAGGCTGACGAGGGAGGGGGACTTGATTGGGGGAGGGGGAGGAAAATGGGAGGCGGCGGTGGGGATGAGACAGTAATCTTTAATAAATAAACAAATAAATAAAAAAAAAGAAGGAGAATACCACACATTTTGTTTAGGTTTTTGCTAAAAACCAACAAGAACTAAGATTCATACTACCTATACTAATTGGAGGTAGAAGAAGAAGAATCCAGAGTTCAAGAATTCAAAGTCACAGTTGGCTCAAAATGAACACACTTTTTCTTGAGAGGAATATGTTGTCTAAAGCTTCCTAATGTAAGAATTTTTTCCAAACCAATCCAACTATTGTAACAAGGGCAAAGTCACCTGATGATATAGGTAAATAATTATTGACAAAGACCCAAAGAAGATCATGTAGGAGGGACAGTGAAATGTGACCAACCTTTGAGTTCCTATTTAATGTGCACATTGTCAGCTAAAATCCTTTGAATTATAGAACTAGTCTTTCTTTATTGTAATATGAAACTATGCCGATCAGACATAATGGTACAAGCTCATCATTTATTTCTCACATACAGTAAGATGTTAAGGTTTTTTCAAATGTCTTCCTGATACTGTGTAAAATTCTGTGTGTATGAACATTACTTTCTGTTTTAGAATGGACATCAAAGATAAAAATCTAAATTTCAAACTACTTTACTACAACCACCTAAGGAGTTCCTCTAAGAATCTTGGGGTTTTTGTATTGTTTATCCTAAATGTGGTAGATATTTCTGTAAATAGAAGTTTCTGTCCCGCCTGGTTCCACAGCCATTCAGTTCCAAAGAAACACACAGAGGCTTATGTTAATTACAATTAATGGTTGGCCAATTCGCTCATGCTTATTATTAACAAGCTCTTACACGTTTAATTAACCCATAATTCTTGTCTATGTTTAGCCTCATGATTTGATAACTTTTATCAGTAAGGCATTCTCATCTTGCTTCCTCTGCATCTGGCTAGTGACTATATCCCTTCCTTTTCTCTTCCCAGAATTCTCTTAGTCTGGTCGCTCTGTCTATACTTCCTTCTTGGCTACTGACCAATCAGCATTTTATTAAACCAATACAAGTGACATCTTTACAGTGTACAAAAGCATCATCCCACAGCGTATTTCTTGTTCTCATTCTTCAGAGAACTAAACAGAATGATTACATCACACATTCTCAGCAAACCCCTGCTCCTGAATCCACTTACCATATGCTACTTTGCACTTGCTCTCCAGATACCTAGTTAGTTGGAGGGATTTAAAGAAACAGGGAATAATCTCTCCATTCCAAGAGATAAAATGTTCAAGAAACATCTCTAATACAATGGATGTATAGGAAGTAAGATAACAGAGGGGAAAACATCTTTTCTGGCTTGGTCCTTTAATTTTGGAATGCCCTTTACTGTGGAAAGACTCAGCCTAATCAAGATATTATTTTGATTGCAGGCGTGTGTGCAGTAGGAAAGCCCATGTGTCTGCTCTTTGAATACATGGCCTATGGTGACCTCAACGAGTTCCTCCGAAGCATGGCCCCTCACACCGTGTGCAGCCTCAGTCACAGTGACCTGTCCACAAAGGCTCGGATGTCCAGCCCTGGTCCTCCACCCTTGTCCTGTGCAGAACAGCTCTGTATTGCCAGGCAAGTGGCAGCAGGCATGGCCTACCTGTCAGAGCGCAAGTTTGTCCACCGGGACTTAGCCACCAGGAACTGCCTGGTGGGGGAGAACATGGTAGTGAAAATCGCAGACTTTGGCCTCTCCAGGAACATCTACTCTGCAGACTACTACAAAGCTAATGAAAACGACGCCATCCCTATCCGTTGGATGCCCCCGGAGTCCATCTTCTACAACCGTTACACCACAGAGTCGGATGTGTGGGCTTATGGTGTGGTCCTCTGGGAGATCTTCTCCTATGGCCTGCAGCCATACTATGGCATGGCCCACGAGGAGGTCATTTACTATGTGAGAGATGGCAACATCCTCTCCTGCCCCGAGAACTGCCCCTTGGAACTGTACAACCTCATGCGCCTGTGCTGGAGTAAGCTGCCCGCAGACAGACCCAGCTTCTGCAGCATCCACCGGATCCTGCAGCGCATGTGCGAGAGAGTAGAGGGAACGGTGGGCGTCTAGGGTTGACTGTGTTCAAACAACCCAGACAGGCTCTTTTCAGATGGTGGGCTGGAGGAATCCTACAGCAGAGGCTGTAGGACCAGAGAGGAAAGGGTTTAATGTAGATATCACAAGCCAGTAGCTTGCTTGCCGCAAGAAACAGATGGTGAAAAACCCGCAGGTTAGGAGGGTCCCATTGAAATAGGAGGTTGGAGAACCAAGCCAGGAAAATTAAGAGGACCGTAGGTGGCGCTTCACCCTCAAAGGGACAGTTCTGAATACATACTGTATAATGAGAGTAGCCCGGGTTCCGTTCTTGCATCACCCCTCAAGCCGTACGTGCAGCTTCATTTTTTTTTTTCAGTTTCATTTTTGAAAGAAGACACCCTGTCCGTTGTAAAAACAGTGTGTCTCTGTGTATTTTGATGAGGACAGGAATCTAAAGACAGGAAGCCATTCTTGCATCACTCAAGACACACGACCCGTCCTTTGTGTTGCTTTTCTTCTTTCTCGCGTTGAATGTGCAAGCACATATTGGCATGCTAGAGCTGTGCGTCTATTTTACTGATGGGGTTTTAAGGGATAAGAAGGGGGAAACCTGCAAGCTCTGTGCTGACCACACCTCCTGGCTTCTTTTCTCTGCCTACTCTCCACCAGAAGCCGTTCCTGTGTGCCCTCAGCTTCGAGGTGATTGGTTCGCCTCACTCCTCCTGTTTTTCTGCAAAAAATATTTCGTAACTTACCAATCTACCTTGCTTTATGAGAACTATATTGACACATTTTTTTCCTTAAAATATCATAGGCTACAGATACATTTTATTTTTATCTCTGTCAAGGGTGATATTTTTCTTTTCTGTGTGCTCTTGAGTTTGCCATATAGTAATTATGTTGCCACAGGCCACTTAATATTGTAAAATATAAGGTATAATATCAGTTATTGCAAGATGCTTTGTGGTTCCAAGTTATTTCACAAGGAATGTTTTTGTGCATTCTGACTGGTCTTTTTAGAAGGCATTTTGATTGATGAGTCCTATGATTAGCAGAGCACTGTGCAGAAGTTCTGCACAGTGGATCAAACCACCTTGTTACTTAATATGACTTTTTTTTTTAACTTCCTGGACTCAGGTCCCCCAATGCCTAAGTTTTTCAGTGGAAACCTACACACATACATAAGGACATGTGAAGGTGACTTGTCATCTGGGTGTGGTTTCAAAGCCTACACCATATACCTTGTTACTGTTTTTCTAAGGGTTTTCAATGACTAGGAAGAAAGCCTATTTAGTATTATCGATTTAAACCTCTCTAAATATCCAATGGATGATGGCATGTTTGTCTCAGCATGAGTTTTACTTGCACTTTTGGATTATAACCATTAAGTTATTTCCTTGGTAGCCGGCTAGAATGTGGCACAGTGTAGGAACATGGGTCCAGTACAGCAATTTGAAAAGCAAGGGATATGTTACCAAGTGCAGGATGATAGCAATAAGTCACCAGCAAGTCTGTGAAAGTGTCCAGATACCCAACACAGCCAATCACCAGGTTATTTTGCATATGGTATCAAAATATGTCCTCTGGAATTAGGATAGAGTAGAAAAGGAAAACTTCCCATCACTTCACAGTTTATTATGAATTTGTTACATGTCATTATTATTCTAAGAACTAATGTAATGTCTGATACTATCTATGGGTGTTCCATAATGTAATCAATCTTAGATTTCTGAACATGTAGGGTTCTCCTAGTTTCATCATCATAAACAGTATTATGATCACCTGCATTTGTACACAGCCCTAAATACCTCTTTATGGGCAGTCTAAAGAAAGAAATGTATAGATCACATGACACACACAGTATTACAACTTTTGCTGTGGAGCCTGGAGAAATGGCTCAGCAGGGAGCACACACTGCTCTTGCAAAAACTGGAGTTCATTTCTCAGCACCCACCTTGCAACCACCTGTAATTCCAGGTCCCAGGGGTTTCTGAGGGCACCAGCACTCATGGGCACATACCCACAATATACATAATTAAAATAATAATAAAAATAAAATTTCATTGTGTATTGTCACAGTCTCTAGAAATGTTATCATAGCTGCATTATACAAGATGACTCATAACACTAAGCATTTTCTTTAATAAAATAATTAATAGCCTTTTACTAACTTTTTATGTGTGGGTACACAAGCATATGCGCACGTATGTGGGGGGTGTTGCCCAGTGTCTTGGTGCACATGGGGAGGACAGAAGACAACGTCTAGTGTTGGTTCTCATCTTCTTGTTTGAGACAAGATGTCTTTTTGTTTGGCACTGACCTGGAAGCTCCTTAGGCTTCTCCCATCTATACCTCCATCTTGCTGTAGAAGTATAGGCGTTACAGCAGGGGTTACTGCATATGGGTTGATGTGGGTTCTAGAGACCTGAACTCAGGTCCATCCCTGTGAGACAAGGAGTTTACCCACCCGACACTCTCTTTTTTAAGTAAAGAAGAGAATGGCATTTTCATTTCAAACTCTGGTGAAACTGAACTAGGCACAGCAGCACAAGCCTTCAACCCTAGCACTTGGGAGCCTGAGCCATAAAGGTCAAAACTTCCAGCCCAGTTTTGATTACACAATAACAAAATTCAGTCTCAAAAAGCAAAAGTAAGAATTGAAATTTTCTTTTCCTACGTCATTCATTTATAGTTTTGTTTTAGTAATTGCCTGCAGTCTAATGTTTTACTTTGTTCATTTTAAAATTGAAATGTAAGATTTATTTTTAAAAAGCAAATTATGCTTCTGCAATACTTTATAAGGTATATTTTACCTTAAAATAAATAATTGCTTTCTTCCTTGTAAGATAGTTCATTTCTTATGAAAAGGAAAAAATAACAATCAACATACATTAATAACATATACTTCACAGTAATAATAAGTCATTGTAAGAATGAAGAAACACCAGCTGTTGCTAATTAATTTTAATATCACAAAAATATTCTACCACCATTTATCAATAAGTGGATAGGGAAGTAGATGGCAGATAGAAGATAGATAGATAGATAGATAGATAGATAGATGATAGATAGATCATATATAGTTAGTTAAATAAATGATAGAGAGATGATATATAAATAGAGCAACAGCTGATTGATAGATGATACATAGATAAGAGATAATTTAAAGCAAAACAGACAGAATGATACTGTTATACAGATTTGAGCTGTGTTCTTATAATCTAGTGTATGCTAACATATTCTGTATCAAAAATATTCATGTACAGCATCACTTGTAATGATTGGATATATGAATTTATCATAGTTTTTATAATGTAATAGCTCATTGTTGGAATTATGCTTATATCTATTTTTCATAATAAAATATAATCTTTCAGAATCTTTGTTGCTGGATATTGTGAATATTTTTCTTAAGTAATTTCTTTAGATATCACTCCCAGAAGTGGAATTTATAGATTAAAGGGCACTTGTACTTTTAATGATTTTGAATATACTGAAAATTCCATATCTTGATTAATTTGTCAATACATATATCTTCCAGACAAATGACAGAACACACTTCTGCATTTCTCCTAGTCTCACCAGTTCTAAGTACATTAGCATTGTGATCATTGCCAATACAGTAACTCAGAATTTTTCATTTTGCAGCTTGCACTTACAGTTATTTAAATATTGTTTATTTTAAATACTTCTCAATGTTTTGAGCACAGTTGACTTAGGATTTGTGTGATACTAATATTTTTCTGTTGAGTGTACCTCTTTCTCATTGCTTTATAAAAGCACTTTATATATTAAAGCATTAAATTTTGTCATACACATTTGAACCACTGCTATTGTGTTGAAATATAGATTTTCTTGTGTCTTTGTTATAAGTTTTTATTCACTGAAAACTGACGCTGAATTTCAACATATTCAAATGACTATTTTTCCCTAGTTGATATGTTAATAATGTAAATTGACTTCTTAATATTAAAACCACCTTGTATTCTGAGAATAAATTCTTTTTGGATGTCAAGCTTATATTTAACTTCTGATCTGTTAAGATTTTGCACCAATATTTCTAAGTTGAAAATTTGTCATTTCCTTCTCAGTTACAGTTTTATTTGCAAAGTGATGGTTTCATAAATTTAAGAGATTTTTTTTCTGTATGATATTGGCTAATGCTATGGTTTGGCTGTGTCCCAAAGGGTTATTTTATGGAAGCTTGGTCCCTGGGTGACATTACTGAGGAGCACTGAAACTGTTATATGACCAGGGGCAGGGTGGTTTGACTGTATGCATCAAAGGCATTGCAGGCATCACCCTCAGAAAAGATTAGTTCTGGTGTCTTAGAGTAAAGAAGTCTTCATAATAGTGGGTTGTCATGAAGCGAGGTCAGTTCTTTGTGTATTCCAGCTTCCTCTGTACTTCCTGGACACGTTGTCATAGTCAGCAACCTAGTACCTTACTGTTTGGACCCTCCATCCACCAGAATCATAAGCCAAATAAGGGTTTGCTTTCAGGTACTTGGTTATAGCAAAAGGAAATAGAGTAATATATAAGAGTAAAAGCCCCCCAGACCTTAGCACAACTGGTGCCATGAGTTATACAACCATCAGGCTGTATAACCTGGCACACAGAAAGCACCACCTGCCAAAACTAAAACAAAGACCTAATCCTGATATGGGATGTCCTTCTGTATGTGTTGCATTTATTAGCTGATGAATAAAACTGTTTTGGTCAATGGCTTAGCAGCGCAAAGCCAGGTGGGAAATCTGAACAGAGATATAGAGAGAGTAGGCAGAGACAAAGCGATGCCATGTAGCTGCCAAAGGAGAAAGCCACCAAAACAGAAACTTACCCAGTAAGCCGCAGCCTCATGGTGATATACAAATTAATAGAAATGGGTTAATTTAAGATGTAAAAGTTAATTAATAAAAATTAAAAAAAAATTGAGCTATTAGGCCAAACAGTGTAATTAATATAGTTTCTGTGTAATTATTGGGGTCTGGGCAGCTGGGAAATGAACAAGCAGTCTCCTACTACAAAATGGCGTCCAACATGGGACAACTGCATCCGCATAAAAACAGAGAGAGAACTTGGGATGGAATTCTAGATACAAAAGAACAAGTTAAGCACAGCTTCTTGGTAGCTGCATTTTTTCAAATAGGCTCTGTTTGCTGGGAGCAAGCAGAGACTTGGCTACTTTAAAAGAAGGCTTCCTGACTCGGCATAAACAGCAAAAACTGCGTGGCTTCTTTAAGAGATGGCTTCCTGATTCGTGCTGGCAGAATGAACTTTGACTCTTTCAGGATGCCCTGCACTTAAATGGGGTCTGTGAGCACTGTGTTACAAATTGCTTAATGACAACATAGACCTGCTGTGTTCCTGGAACTGTGGTGGTGTGCATAGCACATAGAGGTGGTGAACATACCTCTTTCATGTTGGACTGGGCAAAGCACACAGGCAGGGCCATGGAGTTTGTCTTAGCCATACCTGTTTAGCATTTAAAAAAAGGGGGGCTCCTGGTCAGAAAATGATTACAGATATGCAATAAAGACAGATTCAGATGAAAAAGAACTCTAAATAGGTCAGTGTTTAAAAATGTACATAGGCTTGGGAGAGAGAGAGGAAAAAGAGTATAGACTGTTATAAAAAGAAGTAAAGTCTTTAAAGAGACAGTAAGAACAATATATATAATTTTGTTTTCTTTGATTTTTTTTTTTACTACAAAGAGATATTTGATTCTTGGGGCTACTAAGTTAAACCAACATAAAGGTATCTTGACTTCAAAATTTTGGGTCTAAGGATATGCTACTTGGCTGAAATCACCATCTTGGATTCAAACTCTTGAGCTTCTTGACTTCCAAACTTTTGATTCATCAAGATTTCCTTCTGTCTGTCTTATCTAGATAGACAAAGTCATCTTATTAAAGGATAGTGGCAGGATGTGGTGACACTGCCTATCATCCTGACATTTGAGTGGCTGAGGGAAGAGTAATAAGAGTTTGAGACCAGCCTGGAGAATGAGGGGGTGGGGATTGCACATTGAAGACCTCTCTTAGCATGACACATTTGCAAGAGTAATAAAGTTGAGTCTTTTGGGGTGTTTCAGGACCCCTCCTTCTTTTCTTATTAAAGAAGCAACTGAACTTCAAAAGAAATGTTGTTTGAATGGGAAATGTCTCCCCAGAGGCTCTTATGTTTGAACGCTTGGTCCCCAGCTGGTGGCCCTACTTAGTAGTGAAGCCTGCTGGCCTTCAAGGAAGTTGCTAGGAAAGGCTTGAGATTTTATGACCTGGCCCTGTTTGCCACCTGTCTCTGCTTTCTGACTACTGACCAACCCAATGTGATTAGGCACCTCAGACTCTGGCCACCATGTCTTTCCCACCAGGAATGAATTTTATCCACTCCAATTGTCCACCAAGACAAGCTCCTGCCCCCTGAAGTTGCTTCTGGTCAGATAATTGTTCACAGTCACTCATCAGAAAGAAGCATAGTTTGTAAGTTTTGGCTACAAAATGAATGTGAAAGCAATTTTTGCATTTGATTTTTTTTCTCCACAATAGTAATGCTACACAATGAGCCCCATAAGTCATTACAACGAGAAAGCTACTGCTGGTCACTAGGGGTGGGAGGGGATGTGTGCAAGTCTCTTTGGAGCTCTGAAAATGATACAAATGCTCAGAGCAGACAAAGGAAGAAAGTGGGGGAGGGGGAAGAGGATGAGGGGGAGTGATGGGTCCAACAATCCATCCCCTTCCATATTTACATAACATAGGCCAGCCCCAAGTTCTCTCGATTGCACAGTCTGGGTTCTCAGAATTGAAGAAGAAACTGATGTTTTCCACCAGCTCAGATGAAGAACATTCCTGGAGGGTTATGTCTCTGCGTACCGGAAATGACAGTGGGGAGTATCCCAGCTCCAGCTTGGTGAACCATAATTCTTTCTGCTGTCAAGCACAGGCCATGTTCACTCACACTTGAGAAAGTTCTCCAAGCAAATGTGACAATACTTCACAAAGACCACAAAAGGAATTGTTCAGCAAAGAAAATGCCAGACTTAGCACTAACAATGCAATCTAGCAACTGCTGCCAGTGAGTCTCAG